TTATTTATTAAAAATAATAGAGTAGTACTCCTAGGACTTAATTACTAAGGGCTTTTTAAAAAAAAGGCTGTAGAAAAATATCTTAAGCTACTAAATAAACTACCTAGGAATATACTCTTAATATACTTAAATAGTTTATAAAATAAAAATAAAAACACTAACTAAGGAGTAGTTATATATTATAACTGCCACTTTACCTTAGCTAAAGAATATATCCCTAATATAAAGGTTTATAATACTAAGGTAATAGAAGCCTTTAAAGTAATAAAACTTATATAAAAATAAGTTAAAGTTAATTTAAATATAAAGGAAATTATACTTTTCCTTAATAATATAGTAGTTATTAATAGTATTTTAGGAAAAACCCTAGACTCCTCCTAAAGGGCTTATATAAGATTTTATAAAATTACCTAAGATATTTCCCCTTAGATTACTATCTGCGTTATATAGGTTCTAGGATATAAAGATATACATAGTAATAAATAAGCTAATAAGCTTATAAAGGAAAGGTTAGAATTTCCTAAAATATATAGTAGTATATTTATAATTATATATATTAAAAGATAAGCCTACGTAAAAAGAAGAAGAAAATAGGAGGATTACTAATATAAAAGTTAACTACCTTATTATAAGCGCTAAAGACTTTATGCACTAGGCTTACTACTAAAGCTATATATACTATGCCTAATCTTTTACTAACTACTAGTAAAGAGGTTAAAATATAGGAACTTTATAAAATACTATAAAAGGTTTAAATATAAAGCCTGCTTATAATATAAATATAATAAACTAAGAAAATATAACTACTTTATTAAATATTAAATAGTCTGCCCCTTTCTCCCTAAGGTCCTAGAGAAAAAGTACTTAATAGGCATTAGATATTTAGATTATTTACTAAAACCTAAAGAATATAAAAAATTTTAGAAATTAGTAGAGAATACTAGCTTATATAGCCCCCCCCCTCTAACCCCCTAGAATAATACCCCCTAGAATAACACCCCCTATAGATTAATAAACCCTTTTCCTTTATAAAGAAGATATATAGTAAACGCAGGATCTAACGCCAGGCGGCTCCTACCGACCTAGTGCCTAAAAGAGGACTTTGTAACTATTTACATAGTGGTCGTTAATAATAAAACAAACAAACAAACAAACAACATGATTAGGTTGCCAATGAGACATATATTTATACTTGTCAAGTTTAACTTTCGAGGCTTGTAATGTGGTAAACGTTGTCTCCGAAGCTGTGAATTGCCTAGTATTAACCTCCTGGCTCCGACAACGCATCATAGCGGCGGCACTGAGACATCCGCCCAGCCAGTATTCCATATTATGGTGCTGACATGCATACCATTAGATCTGCTAGTCAGTAGCCTTGCCCATTTCAGTCTCTGAAGGCTTGGCCCAATTACGGTGATCGTCTATCGAATTTTTCTATTGAAATGACGGCATGTCTTTAATCTCCGTTGATGAACATGCTGAATGAGTTTTATAGAGCGCTGACCTAAAGCATGGTCCAATTTCGTGGGTTTGTACCTGCAGCAAGCTCAAAAGATGTTTGCCGCACTACTCGAAAATAGCTTCTGCTAGAACGAGTCGTGCGCTCCTTTTCTAGGTATTTTCTCCCGAGTTATACCATAGTGTTAGAGCAAATTGGGTGCCACGGTTCCATTTTGGGAATCATGCTGGAATCAATGGTGTTGATGGTGCAGCAAGTGATTTTCATTGGCGGCAGAGTTGTGCCAGTGGCAAAAGAGTGGCCAAGTTTGGACACAGTTAAGTTGCCATACATTAGCGGGTATCGACCCATTGATGCTTAAAATCAAGAATCCCTTCATCAACCGCCTTCCAATGCCGTCTTTCAGGTTCACGTTAATCAATAATGAATCGCATCATCAACGAATGCTTTCTCATACAGATTTAATAACACGGAGCCATTGGGAACGCCGACAATTCCGCTGTTCCGTACTTCACACACTACGAGCTGACTAGTCTCTCAACCGTATCACAACATCGCTTGGTTTTTCTCACCGCAGGTATGAAGTATATGAAGAGTTGAACTCAGGACTATACTCAAATAGAGGCAACTCAGGAGGTTACTCCCATTCATAGAGAGCGCGCACTCTTTTGCGTCGTTGTAAGCTGTTGTAGTATGATCATGACGATGATAAAATTGCTTGACAAGGGTCAGGGGCATGCCGCGTACGGGCACTTTTGCTTCACAATACGAACAACGCTGTCAAAGTATTAGATTTTCTCGGCCATAGCAGAGAAGGCCGTATTTCCACTTAGTTCGTCACCGCTCACACAGTTTCGAGTTGACGTCCCCTGTTCGCTTCCTGGTTTCTCGAGAGCTATCGTTCAAAGTTCATCCACGGAGCATGGAAATCCCATGGAGAATGTATCGCTACCAGCGGCGGAACAGAGCATCCGTTCTCCTACCTAGGACGAACTGCCACCAAAGCCGGGCGTAATTCAGAAGCTATCAAAAAGGGGATCATGCGTGAATTTTAGTATCTCACCTAGAGACTCGGCTACGACACCAATGTATTTCGCCATATGCAACGAAATGTAGCCAATGTAACAGAAAATTTGGGGATGGAGAAAAAAAACGCGTTTTCAATGATATTCTTTGGAATCTTTCATATCCGTTGCTGTTGCTTTTGATGTGTATCGCGATGGTTCGCGCCCAAGTTTCTGGCGAGTCATTACTCGCCACTGTGCGTGATTGCAGCAACGGTAAGAATCAGGTTACATGCTATCGAACACATTGATGATCTGGTAGGAGTGAGTCTATCAGAACGAGCTCCCCTTTTCATATAATCGGCATAATGGAAGACGATGAAGATTCTTCTGGTCCAGTAGACACAATGCGTGAGCCTATCAAATCTTGTCAAGATTCCTCAATAATGATGGGCTGGATTTTACTTTCTTCTACAACGAGGACTTTGACATTTCCCATTGGCTCTTGAAAGATAAACACGGGGCATTCGTAGGGCGCAGAAGAAAATTTTATCAATAGCTAGGATGTCTCACTGGCGCCAGCTACGAGTAGTGGCAAGCCCTCTCTTCCCCCTTTTCAAATGAGAACAAGGAAAAGAACGAACATGTAACAATAATAATCATATGGCATTATATAAGGTATGTATACTTGCTTTTCAGTCTTCCTGACGCTGTATCAATATTCTTGACCGTGACATACAACAACACGCGCCTTCAAGGACAATGGATCCAGAGACGGCCTGGAACAGTGACTGCGCTAATTTATTCAGTAAAGACAATACGATACCACGGAAATGTATCCCCTAATCTCTGGAACAGCAAACCCACAAGTTCGACACACCCCTCTACCTTGAGCGAGTGACGTGTAGCATTCATGAAGACGCCACACAGCTCACAACATGTTAGCCGACGCGTAATTAGGTGAAATGTCGTAGGGGACACGCGAACATCTTCGGCCTCTCTACATTAGTATTTAGGCCAATGGCCAAAAAAGTTCCTTGAGGGACATTGGTAGAGATACATGAAGATGTACAGCACACGGTGCCCCTGCTCTGTAAAGATGCATTATGGTACGCAAGCTTATACAGATTTTTTTATGAAAGTTCATCGCGTCTAGACATTGATTACCATTGAAACACCATCTAGCTTGGCTCAGGAAGCAAAAATTCATATACCAAGATGCGATAGTGTTTTGTAAAAACATCATTTTCCGATTTTCAATCATGTTACATTCTATTGAAGCCAAGTCTGAGATGAAATTGCATAAGTCGTCGTGCGTCAGGGGGGTGAACCACGTTGTATCTTTGTATTTACCACAGATTCAGTGAGAGCTAACATGATGATTGTAGAGTTTGATATGCAGCATGCCTCCACAACGCCTTTGAAGCCATTGACGATGACGTTGATCCGTGGCCCGGCAGTTTGTTTTTTCAAATCTTTTACATGACCCTGATTGAAAGAGGCTTTCGTGACTGGACGATTGATATGCACTATTATTATGCCTATGGTCGGCTAACTTTTCGGGCAACGACGGCAAGTGTGTGGTTGGCTGTAGGGCGCGAATAGTTCCTTGTCATGACAAATCTCACTCCGCCTTCCCAATGAGAATAGTTTTGAAAGCACAGGTGTGTCATAAAGTCGGGGAGATCATTATTCTTAGCCGACGCGAGGCGTTGTTAGGCGTTGTTCAGGCGGGTGTGCGTTGGATCGGGCGTTGAATCAGGATACAGAAGAGCTCACATGCTGGGTCAGAAAGCAAACGCCGCCGGAGTGAGTTTTGGCGGGAGACTTTGACAAAAGAGGTTAAGCATCGACGTTGGCCAACCCCAGCTTGTCTGCAAAGAATTCGGCTGCCTTGCGATCCTTGACCGTCAGACTCCCCCTGGTACGAGGGCCAACTGGGCACCATCCCAAATCAGACGCTAGACAGTACCCTGTTGGGATGATTGAAACACACATGCGATTTGCTAGCTCAGGTGTTTGTAGGACATAAACTGGGTGTCGGTTCGCTAACCCTAAGGAATCGCTGCCACTCGTCTTGATGCTAGCATTAGCGTTACATGGCGTTATTGGGAGTACAGCCGGGATGATACTTGTAATACCGCTGAGCCTCTCTTCCTTTCCAGGATGTGCACCAAAAACGTTCAAGTGTGTGATGGCGGAGATCGAAGGAGAGCGAGAGCCGCCGCCCTAGGAGGTCCGACCCCTAATTCCGCTACTCAAGAGCGAACACGTGGATGCACTCATCTTTGTCAAATTGCAGTGCCCGTCCGAATACAATCTGATGTAACACTCTATGATTCAGTCATGAATCTTCTCTCACGGACGTTTCAATTGCATTTTCCTGGCCTTGTTGGATGCTTAATTCTGGTGAGGACGGAGAAGGTGGACAAGGCACTTGTGGTGACGAAGCTCCACATCAGCACTTTTATTTCAACAACAAACGACGATTGCTCTTTTTCTGCCATTCTTCGTATTACCTCGTCGCACCATATGTACTAATTATGGAAATAAAAATCCCCACCGACGGCTAGACTGCCATCATCGGGGATCTTGAAAGGGTTTTCCGTTGCTGGATTCTCTGTATCCGCAAACTTATCCGTCAGATGCAGCCAATCGACTGGACCATCAGCTAGCTGGTCCAGCCAGTTCATATCCTGATTTTGCCCCTGTACCGTGTTCCGACACATCCTCAGATACTGGACTGGAGTCACGCCAACAAACTTCTTAAAGACTCTATGAAAGTACCATTTCGAAACGTTGGCCTGCTTCGCCATCTGACTCAGGCTCAACTGGCTAGGGCCAGTGTTACTGACTGCCGCTCTCTCCCATTCCTGTAATAGTTCCCGAATCTTCTGAACGGCGGGGTCTTCTGGCATACAGCCATCGAGTTGCGGTTTACAGCGTTTGCAGGGGCGGAAACCTGCAATCTGTGCTTGCTGTCCCGTTACGAAGAATACCACATTGCAGCGGCGAGGGTGTCTTGATTTGCAAACCGGTCGACAGTAGACTTTGGTGCTGCGCACGGCAGTAACAAACATTCCATCAGCACGAATATCACGCTCCTGCACAGCCTGCCAGCGGGAATCGTCGTCTTCGAAGCTGGTTGAAGTCGTAGGCTGGAGACAGTCTGGCGAGTAGAAGATGTTTTCCATGGCCCTTAGCGGAACATCCAAAAAATTGTTTGAGAGCAATGGAAGAAAAGTAGAATTGACAGTTAATAGCCCTTGGACTTAGCTGCAAGTTGTAGAACGACTACTGGCAGATGGACGCCGGTGGGAGGGAAGCTACTTAGTTATATGCCGACCCCTTCTTTGACCAAGTTGGCAGCCCTGCAGTAAATCCAAATACGGCAACATAGCCCAAAACCGGGTCAGCGGCTAAGAGACCAAGAGCTTACGGGGCGGCACACAAGCGGCGAGGAAGTTTAATTGACATTTAATGGTAATTTGTCCACAATTTTGACAGTCTCCCATGTGAGCCCTACTAAACTACGATGGACTAATAAGCCTATCCGTCTCAGATCTCGGTGGTCAAAGATAGAGAAGCTAGTGTAGTAAGTCCTCATAGTTTTCGACCTTTACTGCCTTTACTACCTTTAACAAAAGCCATCTCTGCTATATTTACTGTCTTCCTTGCTGCCTTTATTACCTCTGCTATGTCTGTTGCTATCAAGTTTTGTCGGCGTAAAGCTCAGTCCATCATGATCGGTAAGGCAGGGCGCAGTGAAAGACCCAGTCTTGTTCTGTGCCTAAAATAGGAATTGTCAATCAAGTTTCATATGCCCTTCATGTCGCGAGGTTTGATTCAAATAGCGGAGAGAAGACACCCACTTGCTCAGTCATGTCTTTACAGAGTTGTATGCAGACACTATCCTACCGACATAAAATGTGGAGTGATACCCGATTTTGCGACAGATCAAGACGAACGGATATATACTTTTAGGCTAGTTGAGTCTATATATAATCGCATAGATGCATCATATATTTAGACTGAAACTCGTATACGAAATCAAGGATCTTTGCCATAACTTTGGCATCGGGAGTGCCAAGAGGTCAGTCAGATTTTTCGACATGGCCCCCTACCTTGAGCGAGATTTCTTAGCAAAAGCCAATCTATATCCCGACTTATACCAGATGACTGCCTGTCTATGTCAGTCTGCCCACTTTGTTGGGAGTTTCTGTAACCATCATATGGTCATAAGCGATATACTCTCCTCTGGATTAGTGTCGGCATCAGTGTTTTTCTGCCTCTTCCACATGATCATTAGATTCATGACATTATGATCATATTCAGCGTCTCTATACAACTATATGAAGGCTTTGTTCATTGTTCAGGATGGTCAATAACAAAAATAAAGACACATTATATTAGATCTAACCAGGTGGCCACGGGCGCGGACGCCTCCCTAGTGTCGATGTTCGTGGCCCTACCTACATTGAGTTGTCTAAATAGCAACCTCGAGCCTCTTAAAACTTTCCAAGGCTGAAAGACTATTTTCAGGGTTAATTTTGGCTGGTTAGACGAAACAGGCGACTCGAGCCTTATCGGAAGAATCCACGGCATGTGGACGCACAGGGCACGGCGTTTCCTGGGAACGGACTTTTGCAGGACAGTTGCCTCTTGCTTTTCATGCAACACTACTTCAATGGTGCTGATACGATACGTGGACGCATCCTGACGCTTCAAACACGGACCGGTGGTCAGCATCGTCATCCCCGATTAGGAATTTGCAACATGGCACCACATCCGCAGACAGGGTGTTTTTCCTTGAATTACTGGTATGTTTAGTCCAGGTATCGGATAAGATCAAAAGACGACTCAGGTATGCTTTAAACAGTTGTGACAGCTCTATCTGCGTCAGGAGACCAGCTCATGTCTCAGCAGTTCTGATGCGCAGCTAGGTGCATAGCCCCGCCTCCGCAGAGCCGCTTTAATTTCCATCTCTGCTCCTCCGCAATCAGATTTGGTGAATTCGCAAGGCTTTCCCACTGGCGTCTGTGAGTCATCCATAAGCAGGAATAGCGCTGAGTGGCGAAGGGGAAGACATTGTGAAGACTGAAGCGTTATATAAGGACAAAGATGCCGGAGCCTGGCACGACTAGACAATTAAAAGAGAGGGAGAATAAAATACAACCGCCTTGGAGAGTAGAGTAACCTCTTTAGAGTAATTTTAGCTGGGATGATCTATTGTAGAGTAAAATGTATCGTGGAGACGAAAAACAGTGATACGCGATTCGGACGAAGGGATTCGGACGAAACTATTCGGACGAAACAATCAGACGGAAAAAATACTTCCGAAAATAACAGTCAGCCAGCAACAAGACGGAACAACCGAGCTAAAGCACTTCCGGAGTAGTTATCTAAACGGCAGCCTAATTTCACGAGGCGGAACGTGCTGAGAGACAAAAACTATGTCCGCGGAGTAGGCCAACAACACAGGCCAGCACAGGCCAGCACAGGGGGCTCTTCGTCTTCGACGTGTATTTCGATCTAATAGACAGAAGTAATAATAGCAGATAAGGATTAAGGACTAGTAGGAATCGTATCTGACTACCTGAATACCAAGACTATGAGATATTAGAGCTATGCGGAAAGTATATCTTTTCCCATCCCTACGTCGTCTTAGAATGAAAGGGTTAAGGTGCTGGATAGATCAACACTATCTGACTTCTATTTCTAGAACGTGGTACTCCCTCCGCCCCCTATGCTAGAGTACCAAGGCAACAGATATCGCCAAATTCGTCAAAGGCTGGTCCCATCTATTCTTTTCCGCCTACGGAAATACATATCATCTAACACCCTCGCTCGCTCCGCAAATCATCCATTCGTATTACCCGTCACATCTCTGAAGTCAGCTAAGCCAATCACGATTCCCCGCCGGTGTCTAAACCGGGAAGACGGACATGCAGAAATTCTCCGGGCGTTAGTTACATTTAGTTCGGCAGTGTGTTCCCATGGACACTGATCGCCGGTAGGGGTGTGAGAGTCAGAAAATGGCAGGAGAAATCAGCCTTGGAGAGGCTGACTTTTTATAGCTGAGCTCTTATATGCGGCAGTGATTGCCCTTGGTAGACCATTACAACTCATCATGGTGTTTTGCATAATGATTGGGTGAAAATGAACAGGTGATGTCTGCTGCGGCTAGCAACACATTGAGAAAATTTCGGGATGTTCAATGCAGTACAGAAGAGCTGTATGAATAGATCCATTGCACTTCAATCACATTTTTCTCGCTCCGTGATATTGATGTGGTAAGCACCGTTGAGCTCTGATCATCAATTGACGCGAGAGTTACTTTTTAACCTTGTTTCTTCTTTCTCGATCTAGTAATCCAGTCGCTGTACATTGCAGTGTCAGCAATCACATGCATCTGTCTTGGGGAGTTGCCACTTCTTGGCAAAATCGTTAATTCCAACAGACAAATTAATGTTGCAAGGCAAAGTATTCCTTTGCGATAGAAATTCTTCTTGACAGGACGGAGTATTTCATCATGGCTAATAGAATCAATTGTCCAACAGATAAATGCCCCAGACATCTCCAAAGAGGACGAAGGCAAAGAGGAGCCTAACACGAACTACTTCAAGTATACGGACGCGAGATGGCAAAATGCCCAACACTCCCTGCTCTTCAAAGATCCGCAGTATAGAGGCGTCAGTGTGAGCCAGTGCAAGCCGATACACCAGGCAGCACTCGACGATGCAGAAAAAGAAGGCCGGATAAGCAACTATGGCTGCATTGGCAACTTTCCAGTCGACAAAGACATTGTGTGGGGAAAGTATCCGGGAAGAAGCAATTGCTATGTTGCGCGACAACAGCCACAGCCAATTCATCGCCAATGGAGGCCAAGGAAGCACTCAGTCAAAATATGTCAGAGCATTCATCATGGACAATTACATTAGATCAGGCATGCCGCATTATGTACATGTGCTTTATAATCCCGCATCACGACTCGCATACATCAATCGTAAACCCGAATTCTCCCGATCAAATAAACTTGACATGACCAAAGAACTTTGTAATATGGAAGCTCGCCTGGTCTGGCGGCGACCATCCGCCAAGAGTCTGGTTAGGATAAATCTCGGGGCTGACGACGGTTCGGAAGAAGTTCATCCTCCAAGATGTGCCCTTGGCCTTGCCGACGTCGACGTTGAAGATGCCCAGAGGGACGGTGACGGTGCTCTTCCAGGTCTTTGCGGGCTTGTTGAGGACCGTCTTTGCGCTGAAGCCGTCCGTGGCGGGATCCGAGATGAAGAAGTGGTCGAAGGGCGCGCCGACCGCGCGGTTCTTTGAGGGGTTGTAAACGAACGCCTGGTATGTGACGTTGTTGGGGTTGACCTCGAGCTCGACGTATGTCTGGGGGTCTTCGGTGCCCTTGTAGATGAAGGCCTCCATGACTTCGTACTCCCAGATGTCGTCGTTTGTGCCCTGCGAGGCGTTGAAGAAGTAGTTGACCTCGTCGTAGGCAATGAATGAGAGCTCGAGGCTCTTGTCCGTGTAGCACAGGTTGACCTGCGTGGGCGGGAAGGGCGTCAGGTCGGGCACTGACTTGCTGTAGCTAATTGTGCCCACACGAGGACATGCGGGCACATTGACGCTGGGAAGCTTGGTAGCTGAGGCCGTCGCGAGGAGGCCAGCAGCAGCGGTGAGAGTGAGAAAGTGATGATGCATCTTGGAGGTTTTCCTTGCCCTGTTGTTCTTGTTCTTGCGTTCTCCTTCTTGTCCTATCCCTCTAGCGCGGAGCTCTCTCTCTCTCTCTCCCTGTTCTGGGGGATTGGGGAGCTTCGTACTTATATCTGGATCGCGTCCGCGTCGCACAACAGCTTGTGGCAGACCAGAGCTTGCCATTTGCAGGCTTCAGCTGTGCTACTCATATGCAATGGCGGAGTGGATGTGACGTTACAAGATGGCCTTTAACCCGGCTAGGCATCTCAAAAGGACCAACTGTAATCGTTCTCGGCCGTTGCTCGCCGCCATACCTCGAGCTAAAATCAGCCACTTGCATTTTCCAGCAGCTGCATCGCGTGCGAAAGGAATTAATCCTTAACCTTGCTGCGCGTCGGAGTGGTTACCTGTTGTCGAATGAATCCCTGGACATGCGCAATGTATCCAATCGGATGCGGACGTTTGCTATGCAGGGCAAGGGACTGGGGAGGAGGAGGCGGCCCATATGATTATGCTGTGGGGATGCGTCACTACATGTGCGAATCAGGGCCCGGTCTATTTTGTACTCACTATCCCATGCATTATTGCAATACGAGTGACTCCTTCGGGCTCATCCATCCTGCGTAGGAATGCCGGGGATAGGCAATTGGAGTACAGCTTGTAAACTAAAGCTGTATGGAGGACACAGTACGGAGTATGTACCATTTCATGTGCTATTACCCCAACAATTGGAGAAATAATGCGGAGGAGTGCAAAGGGTGTAGTAGCGCGATGTGCGACTCAATATCGACCAGGGCATCTGTAATTATTGGCCGAAGAGATGGGATGTGAGGTAGCATTGACGATAGGATAGCGGCCTGAGCCCAATGGCTTCTAGTGTGTCAATACGCCAATCGCTGTTACATTGCATCTACGAGAAACACGCACGACAAGGGACGGGAGTCATCTTGGACGGTTTCAATATCCACTTTGTGGGCGCCGTCTTCGGCTCACTCGAAATCACATGAAGGGCGTTGAATCAATGTCCTCGGTCAATCGACACTTTGCAACACTTTAGATGGTGAATCAGTTCAGCATTCTACAGAATTTCTAACAAACAAAAGAGCTCTTGACATTCTAGAACCAATAGGCCCCGCCTATAGACGACCCTTTCGTCCATCTTCTGCGATCTTCAAGACGGGCTTCAGGTTGGTAGCTCGCTCCCAGACGCCGGGCAAGCCCTGCTCCTTGCTCTTCTTCTCCTCTCGCACAAACCACTCTTCAACGGACTTGATGCGATTGGGGTGAATCTCGTCCAGCAGGGCAAAGTCACGCTTGATGACACCGCGGTTCCCCGTGCGTGTGTACTTCCACATGTTCCAGAACCCGGTAAAGTTGTCTCGAATGTTCATTGTGCTCGGGTCTGAGAGATCAGCGTTGTAGCCGGCAGCAGTCTGCCCGGAGCCGAAGGGCCCTGATGTCCAGTACGTATCCAAGTCGACGTCAACATACTTTGCAGGATGGCCGGTGACCCCTGTGAACGCCTTGGCCATTTCGTGGTAATCCACAAGCTCAATGGCGACTTCGAGATCCAGGCCGTTGGAGCGATATTGGTGGTCAAACAGCCAGCGAACATAGTACTCGCAGTCGTCGAGATCAACGTGAGCCACGGCGCCTTGCCCAAGAGGCACCTTCCAAGTAACCACTCCGTCTTCGACCACGGGAGACATTGGCGTGCCCCTGCCGAGCGCCATTTGGATGTAGGGGCCGGTGGTGAAGATTGCGGCGCCCATCCGCTTGGCAATCTCGGGCTCCTTGTTTTGCTGGAGGATCCATTCGGCGATGCGGCCCTTTCCATCATCTATTTCACAGGTTAACGTCTAATTCGTCATCGCAATTAAGCAGAAAAATTATTTCACTAACAATGGCCGGTTCTGAACTTGGGATCAAATCCGCTCTTCTTGTACACGTAATCCAGGTTGCCATACACGAAAAACTTGATGCCTTCTTCCAGCGCAAGCTCGTATGATCGAATAGCCCAGAACATCTCAGTCTTCTCGCCGCTGTTGAACCCATCAATGTTCACAAAGGCATACTGGGCACCGCGAAATCCCTTGCGGAGATCGGCCTCGCTCGCGAAGCTGCCCTCGAGAGCTTCAACGTTTCCCAGGGAGAGGAGCAGCTTCGATCTGGCCGAGTTTGCGTCTCTGGTCAAGAATCGCACCGAATAGGCGCCATCCTTGACGAGACCGCGGACGACGGGAATGCCCTGGGCTCCTGTTCCGCCAACGACAAACACGAGAGGTGCCATCTTGGAATGAGGTCGAGTTGTGATGAGAGTTTGGGGAGTAGATGAACTGCGGGTATGTTTCGCAGTTGATCGTGTTTCTGGCTTCTTTACCTGCTCAGTCGCCGGAGAGCTGGATATTTATATCGGCCATTGCTTCCTCATCACATCTTCCATGGCCTTCGTTCTTTGATGCCGAGGCGCCAACTGATATCATATTACTGATCACAGAGTCACCTCGTCAGAACGCGCCCTGGAAAGCCCTCAATTGTTAGTATAAAGCGATGGCTTCCCGTGGCTTTGAGTCTATCTCCAGCCGGTGGGATGGCTGTTCAACCGGCATTCCGAAGCGATTCACAAAGAACGGGCTCCGAGGAGACGGCGCGACTAGGCCGAATTCGGTGCTCGATGCCTCGTTTTCTGGTACGATAGAGACATCTGAGGCGGAGATCAGTAATCAGTAATTCGGACTTGTTCGATTACTGATCATGCAGGGTCACCAATTGCCGTTTTATTGTGCAGGCACCGAATCGGCAAGATCTGCCTCCCTATTTGTAACAGCAGAAGCTCTATCTAGCGGGAATCATGCAGTAATCACCCCGACCGTCCGTTTCGAAGCATCTTCTTCCCAAAAGTATATACGGTAGAAATCGCCACGACCTTTCAGGCTTTGTCAACTGATGGCAAAGATTTTAAATCCACTGCATTTTGCTAATGGTGATGACGATGGGGGGCCACCACTTGACGGTGCAACGTCAAGCAGCCGAAAATAGACGAATTACGAAAGAGATCCGCGCCAGTGAGACTTTTATCTCCCCAGGTGTGCAGCGGATAGAAGTAGATGTAGAAGAGGGTCGGGTATGATGGAAGTCGATAGTTGAGGTACCGACAGGGGAAGATCAAATTTTCTCCATTGCATACTGGACGTTGCTTTTATACATGAAGACTTGCACCAACGCTTATTTTATGCACGGCTTAGTTGTGTAGGGAAACATGACAATGTGCGGGTGACAGTGTGAGCGGATGCAAAGCTCTCGAATGGAAAAAGAAAAGAGTTATGGCTTTAAGCTCTGGTGATCAATGAATGGCGATCGCGCGAAGTGGTTGAGATGTCCATGTCTGTAGCCGCAAGACGACTTTGTGACACGTTCCTGGAGGATGTAATTGTCACTTGCGTTGATTGGGCTTGCAACTGAAGTGAGAGGCCATTCAATGTAAAGAGACATTCGATACGAATTGCAACAAGGGAGTCTGTTGACTTATCTAATGGTCGTTATGTCGAACAATGAAGGTCTGCCTTGGTGAGAATGACGATGTTGTGGAGAGAACAGAGGCGATGCGAAGGGATATACTCTAGAGGACAAAGGCGGCAGGTATAGATATAAGCAAACGTACTAAGATGGTTGAACTTGACACTGGCTGAAGGTCATACTGTCTGGTGTTTTGAGTAAAATGGTGACGAGGGGCCCAGACACGCTCGAGAATTATGCAGGTTGCAACAGTCTTCGTCTGCACAAGCACCGGAATAATTATGGTTGCTTGGGATACGGGAGTCTGCACAGAGACACCACTCCAGATTTCGACGCCAGAATCAATCAGCCTGGTAATCTCATCATGACAAAGTGGAATTCTCTGTCAATATTGTAAGACAAGTGCTCCAGAAGTCTGTCCTGTGCTTCCCACCCCCATTGGGAGGTTGACGAAGCCGCCGTATCCGTCCATGGTGTGGAACCTTGGTCGTCAAACAATTCCCCTTCAGGCTTTCTGTATGCCGAAGAAAAAGTACAGTCTGGGCTTGAAGATGTTTCCAGAGCAAAGAGCACGTGTTGCACGTTTGCCCTGGAGCATGAACCAAAATCTGGGTGCCGTATTTGGGGCATCGACACCCTTGGCTTGGTGATATTGAGGGAGACAATGATCTGGGCCTATCTCCCCCAATTGGCGAACCTTTGGTAACACGTGCAAGAACCGCAAATTTGTCGGACGCCATCGCTCATTAGCCGCAAGACTTCCGAACCCGAGCGAATAGGACTACAGGTTCTTCCCCAGCTGTCAAGGTTATCCATAGCTGTTCAAGCACCCCTCGATGCCTCTCGGTAGAGAGGGTGCAAACTACACTACGGAAGACCGTAAATGTACACATGTGATGACAAAGGGACCTAAATGGCACCTTTCACTTCGTTTACGAGGAGGACCAGCAAAGAGACTTCAAAGACAAGGGTCGGACAGCAGATAATGGACAGAAGGATGTCAGCGAGAAAAGATTTGTGGATAAGAGTGCTGAGGAAAAGCTGTTTCAGTCAGAGACAGGGAACGAGGGAGAGATGACAATGGAGGAGGGAATTGTTATTAAAGGGAAGGTATGGGAGAGTTAAAAAATAAAGAAGAAACGCGGAGCATCGCGCGAGAGATGGAGACGTTGAGCATATGCAGGTGGCCCAAGTCTGAGAGGTAGTTCGTAGGATGTCGAGAAAAATGATCTCGGGGTAAGAGTCGCATCAATTACCATTGAACTTAGGCGCGCGGCATCTTCGGTTGGATGATCGTGCGGACGTAGACGGGATGTGGAGCAAGCTGCCTTGCGTCCAAGGTTGCTCAGAATTGGAATAAGATGACCGCTGACATTCATTGAACAAGATATATCTCATTATGTGAACAGTAGAGTCTCATGTGTCTAAACTCATATGTTGCACTACCACATGACCACAGACAGATAACATGTTTCTTTAACAGATATTTCCTAGCTGTTTTGAACGAGCTTGTTGTAATCCAACGATGAGCATTCTTTTGGCAGGTTTTGTAGAAGTATATTACCCAGGGAACATATGGTACTCTGGTACCTCAAGAGGTAGGCGCCTCTTTATCAGAAGATATGCCGGATGGTAAATTCATATTGTCAAATTGTGGATGTGGGGTCAGTAGAGGCAATAGTAGCTCCTACAACGGGCACTCAACAACTCATCGAGCAGAGCCACACAGGATTATTGGATCTAACAACATGTGGTGATGATCTCGGTGGAAGGCAGTGTCGTGCGATTTCTGAAGAGAGGGAGACGCAAAAGCACTAGGTGCTAATCAGGTTGATGATTACGTTTTCATGAGCGCCCAGACAAACCGTACGACGAATTGAATATGCGAAAGCCGAGTTGCGAGTGATAGTATCTTCGTCATATGCCAGTAAGAGGTCTGTAGTATGCAAAACTGTCTCTCTTTTCTATCGTTCATATAATTACATCACAGACTCCTTCAGAACTACTGATTCTATCATGATTGTATTACTATCACAAGGCGTGTTTCACTGCAAATATACTCCCAACGGGCATCGAGAGTATATTGCATTAGTGACTCCAGCGCAATACCAGTTACGATGATGATAAAGCGGTTTGTAATTTGGAGCTTTTTGCAGAACTAGACAAGGTGTTAAAGAACAAGACCGAGATCTCACACCGAAACCCTTTTGGAAAGAAATAACTTGTCCGTTTCGGAGGTTGATGGGTGTTATTTGAGAATAGAGCAAAGCTCCTCACAATAGTTCATGATTATAATCAAATGGATCATTCTCACCGGAAGGAATTGTTAGTCGAGTGGAATGATATTTAATCGCCAACAACCTCACTAATACAACCCTCGCCTGGTAGTGAGAGGGGTTTCAATTCCCGTCCTCGTCGTGACGCATAACTGACTCATTGGGCATTTTTTGGATGCCTGGTTGTTTCCTTTTTTTTTTTCGCAGCTTAATCTGCCTAGATGAATAAATACTAAGCTACTCATATAGCACATTTGGATAATCGACAACGGGGTCTTCGGCGAAAAAGTAGCTGGGGAGACTACGTGGAGATCTGATGTGATATGGTGCTGAAGCTAAGGCTCAAATCAAAGGGTGGGCTCTAACGCCAATGTGCTGTGTATCGTCAGCTGTCGAAATCAACAAGATATCATCCTAGATGAGAAAAGGATGAAAATAGGGTTTATTGATGCTGGTGACGATGGACGCCTTATATGACGGTGGACACAACGCCGGGTCCGATGTCGGCAGCAACCAGCGACGTGTATTAGGTGTCATAGATGAAAGTTTTATCTGATGTCCATTTAGAAGTTTACACAAAGGGCTCTCCCACTGGGCTTTGTCAACGAACCTAAGTTCGGCGCTCCAGGCCCCCAATCCTCCCACATTGGTAAAATGTATCTGCAGGTGGTAGTATCCATCGCTTTTTGCCCTGCTGATGAGTCCTTCGAGACAACCGAGAGATCGAGAGATCCTGGTTCATTCGACCAGCGCTGAATGGGAGTATGGACAACATGGCAAATGCCTTGTCCCAAACGACGCCAGGCTCCCCTTTCAAGAGGTCTCACTTCGCAGCCGAAACAAGTTTCCAGCCAATCCTTTCCGACTGACTCTTGTCCTTCAACTCACTACTGTCGAGACTTACTCAGGCAATCAAATACTAGGAACATGAAGAATATGCTATTGGGGTGTATCGCGGCTTGCTGGCTGCTGTGTCGCGTCCCAGATGAATATCCACGAAATTCCACGAACGAGTCAAGGGTAGCTCACTTGCATGGAAGCCATCCATCAATATGGCTATTCTGCGTTATGCGCAGTACTCAGAGCAGCACACGTATTTTAGGGTGATGAGACGACCCTCATAATGTGCAGTCAAAATCAGTCTTGCCTGCCTTTGTTCCTTTCTTTTAAACAACAGACACGAAGACCAATAAACTTACATCTTACTCTCCGCCAGTCTATCGCATATCATCTGGGATATCTCTTCTACACATTTAATTCTCAGCCATGAGTCAATGTCTAAACGGTCTCGCAACTCGCGCTCCTCCGCTGATCGCGTCGCCCACTTCAGTCATCGCACATGACATCATCTGAGAGCATTCTCAGACGATTAGATGGTGTGATATACGAATCAATCGCAATCAAACTTTAAAAAAAGAAATGGATTTAGGCGGTCATTGTGTTGTGTTCAACTTTTCGCGAAATGGAGGTTTCGTAGTCAAGTCGTTGAAGACATATGGCAACTCAACAGGAAAGCCTGGATGTGGCACAGCTGCCTGTGGCAGTACTATTACAAAATTGACAAATGGGGGACTCATATATGAAAGTTTCAAGTATGAAGAAGGACTGACTAGCTGAGCAAACTTTGTTAATTGTTCATAATGTGGTGGACAGCAAGGGCAACGAAAAAGGTACACTAATAATCGATGCCAACAACGCTGTTGGTGGTCAAGATCTTCTTCAAGGCAATCCGAGTACTCAGATTATATCTAAATAAGTGAAGAAAAAAGGAAATAGATCAATTGGCTTGATACCGTCATTTGCAAACCGAGTTGTGACAATTACATGCGCCTTATTTCATGAGTTTCTTGATTCTCTATTTTTCTTTCTCTTGACGTGGCTATCCAACATCCGCGCTCGCGATGATACAGAGAAACAGACATACCGACCTCTTATTGTTCCGTTCAAGACCGCTAGGCCTCATAATACTCGTAATCTTGAGATCCGTGTGCAGGAATGCTTCTGAAGCTTCTATATTTTATCCTCTTGTTGCACCATTCTATTTTTGGTATGAGTAGTCCAACAATAGTTCTCGCTTGTCATTCAACTGGCTCAGCTTAAAATATCTCTCACAGTTGTAGCTATGTCTGCATGTCAGCGATCTTGGAATAACACAGTTTACATGTGAATGGCGAACTTACCTCCAGCATGCTGTGCCCGTCGCTAACCTTTGACATCCGCGTACATACTCGCGGAGATCCTCATTGAATTTCTCGTCAGTTTTGCTCCAAGGAAGCCTAGCTTCCGCAGCCACACAAAGCTCATAATGCTCTTTAAAAAGACCAACAACTTTGTCTATGGCCTCTTCAATCGACAGGTTATAGGTGTTCATGAAAAGGAAGCAAAGGTTCTCAAGTTGCGAATCGCGCTGGAGACCGTTAATCAGCATATGCCTGTTTAGGAATAGGTCAATGCTTAGATCGGAATGTGGACCCACAAATTCTTTCTGGGAGCTTTGGATCTCGTTGACAAGAATCGTCAGTTTGGTACAGCCCAAAACAATCTCCTCCATGGCTTCATGCCTGCGAACCCACTCCGGGAGTTCAAATTCCATGGCGAATTCGTTTTGTGTGATAGATGGAATAACTCCTACGTCATCTGCGCGCATCTGGAAGTGATCCCAAGGATTTGGGAGGCGATCTGCCTCTCGTACATGCTGCTGGCCCCGGACACCATTACAGTAGTCGTGCAGCTCCTTTCTGAGGCGTTCGGTGGCAACAGGTCCAAGACCCTTTCTGAGATCTCTGAGAATAGGATAAAACATTTCCACAGTACCTCGGGAACCTGGTGGAGGTGTGTAGTTGGGATTGGGGCCGAGGCAGTCGTCGATACACTTGTTTGTCTCAGCGCAACACTGTAGCGTGCCTTCTCTGTCGTGGGTGAGCTCACCCCCAGTATCAATCTCTATTGGACAAAATCAGCGTCAAAAGCTTAGATATTATTAGCTAAAAAGTTTTGTACCGTCGTCCCAAAAGAATATCTGCATCAATGTTAGCTTGGTGTTATGAAGGTGTGATGAAATGGGACTGTATATCAATGCATACCCAGTAGAGAAACTGTGAAAGCACCAGCATCTTGTCCTTCTTGCAGTGAGGGTAGTAAACACCCGTTAGGAGGGTATAGTTGCCGCGGGCTCGATGTTTGGCTTTCTTCTCCTCTGCAACATTGACGCTTTGAATGCAAATCAGTATAAGATTGCCAATATGAATAACCCGAGACTCACGTTTTCAACCATTCGTCAATTTCCAAGTTGATTTCATCAATATCTGGTTGAAATTCGCTGATCCAGCCAGGCATAAGTGCAAGAATATCTGGCACGAGAACTTTTTTGTTCAAGGCTCTCTTTATGACCTCTTTACGTTCATCAAACACCTCAGGACTATCATTTTTTGTATGGTTGGTGCCAAGTGTGTGCTTCAAAGCAACATCACGTATAAAAAGGACAAGGCTCCTGAGTTGATCCATAGTATCGGGTTAGTCCAAATAATGCCGTCTTGTTCCAGGCGATGGCCTCTTGGATCCAGCTGTATTAGTAGGATAATTTACATTCTTTAAATCGGCTCTACGGATGTACGGACATCTCTTGAGCCAAGATCTTATCAAGCCAGCCTCCCTGATACAAATGTTACATGAACCATTGCCAATAGCCCCTCAAAGAAACGCATTAACGTTACGAGGCCCGAAGCCGTTCAAAAAAGCAAGTACATGTGTAACGATGACTCCATCAATATCTTACGATTTACGAGAACTCCATAATCACCGTGGAACCTCAGATTCATACGCCCGACAAGGCTAAAACGAGACGAAGGATGCTGCGGTGGGAGTGCAGTGGATCTTTGTGTTATACAAATTACGTGATGTGCGTGCATGCAACATGGAAAGCAAGGAACGAAAGATCCCATTCACAGATCCTTGCAAATCCGAGCACCATAGCAGATTACTTTGCCAAGTGCTTCTTAACCAAAAATAACTCTCAGCGTCCGAGATATTGATTGGCATATGCCGTTCTGGGAATGTTACACTACTAATTCCTAGCTGGATTGATATGCAGCAAGCATCGTGGATCGTTTCGTGTTTGAAGACTCTGACCGGATACTCAATAGCTCCCGTCATCCCCGGCAGCTAGTTCTTTTCCGCAAGGCCAGCTCCTTTCAGATAATCCATTGCTCAGATAATCCTTCGCTTACAAAAGCTGCAGAGATAATCTAGATACTACTTCTCGTGTTCATTAGTACAGCTAGTTCGGACCGTCTGGTGGGTTCGTTGTCAATCCCCGCGTATTGACTAACCTCTAATAGCAGCTGTAACCCCAGCGCCTGTGGCAAAGGCGCGATCGGGAAGATTCTCACATCAGCACTACCGCCATTCATCGAGCGTGCCCGTGTTGACATCGAAATCTTGGATCACTTGACAGCGCCTGCATATCCGTTTCTCTATAACTAGATACTGCAGCGTAAGTGGGGTTTGTAATAGACGGATAACTATGGAATGGAATGCTTGTCAGGTAACGCAATGCACCGTATGAAACAGAACATTATTACAATAAAGAGGCTTGCATTGGTTGAGTCAAACGTTTCATTCAAGCACAACTATGGAGCATATAAGCAATCCTCTAATCCTTCTTCGGCTCTAAAACTCCGAGGTGGAGTATCTCTTCCTTCGTAATGTCAAACTCCAGTGGCTTCAACTTGCGTGTCTGATCGAAATGCACGCTTCCGTATCGCAGATAGGCTGCAAATGTTCCTTCTATGTTGTCCTTATCATGGTGCTCTTCAGAATCCCAAAGGTCTGCCAAAAACGAATCCAAAGCTCCCGGCGGGCCGTGAGAGAGTTTCATCGTAGAAGTGTTGGCTAGTGCATCCTTGACAAAATCCTCTGCAGCTTGCCAAGTTTCATCCTTGACAACACCTTCGCCCACTCGTTGTTTTGTAAGGAGCTCAAATTGGCGTGTGCCAGACCAGCCCGTCACTTGCTGAAAGTAAAATGTTTCCTGGAGGGCCGAAGCCAGAAACATGTGCTTAGCATAGTATTCAGGACCGTTGAACCCATCTGATGGATCTATGATCTTCCTTAGACGCTCAAAAGCCATAAAGTGAGAGAGGTAGTCGCTGAAACCTTCCATCATTACACCAAGATCTGGACAGTTCATCTTGTCCACAGGTGGGCAGAGGAGAGGCAGATGCCTGAGAAGAGGAGATTTGTGGAAGCCATGAGAGTTTGTCTTCCCTTCCCAAAGTGCTTTATAGATATCATGCCAGCGCTTAATGAATGGGTTATTGCGTTTGGCCGCAATGAATCCATTGAGCATAGTGAGGCATTCAGGGCGTATCTCGATAACGAAACCAGCCATCTCATAAGGCGAAGCAGGGTCCTCAATCTCCTTCCAGCAGATGTCATCTATATGTCGAAACAAGAATGAGCCGGCGTCCATCCAAACACCGCCATATTTCCACAGCAGGGGAAGCCTGATAAGGTCTCCTTGGTGAGGGCCGACGTGAGGTCCATCCATAGTATTGGTATTAAACGCATCGGGGAAGTATGATTCCTCGACAAAGTGGTAGATGTTGGTCTCGGAATTGGGCACCCGGTCGAGAAGGTGTACTGTCCATTCTGGACCAAGACGGCGAACCCAATTGATGACATTCCGCTGAACCCATGGAGCCATTTTGCTGTAGCCAGAGTGCCAGAATGCCCAGACATTCTTATCTGACGTGACCGGATGTCGAAGTTGAAGCCATGCTGCAATCTCTTCATCTGAACGAAGGTCCAGCTTTTCGGCTGGTATGGGCTTCAGACCATCAGGGACCTCGGGTTTGATCCTGATAGTCTGTTGGGATATTTCTTCAGTTTTGGAAGGGGCCATTTCTTTTCGTCTTCTTCACGTCCCAGACTCAAGATGGACACAATGAATATGCACAAGAGCCTTGTATGGCAATAGCAGATAAGCAAGGATTGAGAAAACTCGAATGATGACGCCCCATCTTAAAGAACATGAGGTCGGAAGGCTGATGAAGCATATCCGTGTCTCCCAGAGACGGAAGGTGGCGATTTCACGCCAATGCATCTCGCGCTCTACCGTCATGCCGTGGTACAAAGACTAACAGAATTTAATTGATGACGATCGGGAGCGGCCGATGTTGAATACGAGAAAGTTCATTTAGTAAAAGAGGTAGGATTCAACGAAAGAAACATAGGATTCACTTCGATCACTCTTTCATTCTTGACACTGTGGTGTTGATAAGATAATGGTTAACTGGCGATGTCACGTTGCAGTGCGTCTGTAAGACAGAACGGCGTTTTCGAGTATATGCAGTAATTTGTAGACTCCGCCTACCCTTGTCGATCTTTGTTGCGCTTGCAGATTGCTTGGCTTTGCTCTAATGCCAATATTACCCTGCTACTCCCGAAAATGTTTTGACGATAACATATTGGACTCGTGTATACGAGTAGGCAGTTAGCTTGTTGGCTTAGTCTAAAAGGGAAACACGATAATGAGGTTTATTTTTCCCTTTCCAACGCTAGCCAATCAACTCTCCGATTGTCTTTCCATTGGGCCGTTAACCAATCAATGCATCTTCAATGGCTGATTGAACCGGACAGATCAACTTACACAGCCTAAACATAGGTTACGTTCCTCCTGCTTATGCATGCACGTACTGTTTCCCCATTGACGAAGTCCCATATCTGTCTTTCAGGCCCCTGCGAGGAACTAGTAATCTCGTGGGGTTTCCACCGTTGCATATAAGACGACTGAAGCTTACAATATTGGTCTAGTGTGTACCACGACGAATTGCTTCCCTCTTCGTGCTGACAGCTTGGTTCAACTTTCTTCAAAAGTTCATTCTGAGAAGGTCAAGCTGTTAACATGGCACTCTCAGAGTTGCTGGCGGACATGGAGTCACTTCCTACGCTGGCGTGGGTATCGCCTGCCCTAACAGCTGTTGCCGTCATACTCGTAGCTCTGTTTTCCGGTTACCGGAAATCCCCAAAAGGCTTCAATGTTCCCACGCTTGGTGAAGATTCTCAGATGCGATATGTACAAGAAGCCGACGTCCTTCTTCGAGAAGGATACGAAAAGGTAAGCTTATGGCAACAATTCAGATTGCTTCACCACTCCTAACGACTGGTTCAACATAGTTCAAAAATACCATTTTCCAAGTCCTTACACCGGATGGCCCAAGGCTTTTTCTACCAAGGAAGTTTGCCAATGAGTTGAAGCCATTCAAGCGGCATGAAGCGAGCGGAATGAAGGCTCTAGCTGACGTATGTCACATGTCTACACTCATACGTAAAGTCCACATGTCTAAACTAACAATCTAGCGTCTTCTTGGCCATTACACTACAATTGATCATGAAAGCGACGTGATGCTTGGAGCCATCAAAATTGATTTAAACAGAAACTTGGGCTTGTTTGTAGGTGATGTTGAACAAGAAGTTTCCCACTCCTTCAAGACACACTTCCCCTCTTGCGAAGGTATGTTCTTCTCAGCGCCCAGTCCATAATCTTCTCAATCTCACACAGGTTGCAGAATGGACCCCAGTTGATCTCCACGAGACACTACTTCGCGTTGTGGGTCAAGCTTCTGCTCGAATCTTTGTCGGTTATCCAATGTGCCGAAATGACGAGTGGCTTGAATGTAGCGCCAAGTTCGCATTGGATGTCATGACTGGTGGTGAAAAGTTAAAGCTGTGGCACCCATGGCTTCGCCCATTGGCTCAATACTGGATACCTGAGATGAGGCAGATCAGGGGTGACCATCAGCGCGCGCTTGATCTGTTAATGCCGGAATTGAAGAAGAGGGCTGCAGAAGTTAGAAAACCTGACGAGCCACCGCGCCAAGATATGATACAGTGGATGCAGCAGCGAGCTCAAAAGCTTGGAGACAAATCATTTGACTATAAGGAGTTGGCAAATCTACAAATGCTTACAGCAACAGCCGCCATTCACACTACCAGATTAGCCATCATTCATGCCCTGTACGACATTGCAGCCCGCCCTGAATACATAGCACCTTTGAGAGAAGAAATCCGGGAGGTTACCCGAGATACCAATGGTATTTTACAAAAACAGCACCTGACACAGATGAGAAAGCTTGACAGCTTCATGAAGGAGTCGCAAAGACATAGTCCCCCGTCCGTTGGTGAGCTTCCGCATTCACGAACAATTAACCTTTTTGCCAATGCTAACATAGGTTACAGCTACTTACCAGCGAAAGGCCATGATCCCAATTGATCTCTCTAACGGCTTTCACATCCCTAAAGGAACAATTGTGCAGTGTAATACCAACATTCTCGATGAAACGCCCGCTGCATGGGGCGAGGCACATGCGTTTGACGGTTTCAGATTTTACCGTCTACGAGAGAACCCAGAAGACACCAACAGGTTTCAGTTTGCGAGTCCATCATACGATAGCATGCAGTTTGGTTTCGGCAATGACGCATGCCCTGGTCGGTTCTTTGCCAGCAACCAGATCAAGATTATCCTGTCCTACATCCTTTCAAATTATGACATCAAATTTGAAGACTCGGTAAAGGAACGGCCAAAGAACTTTATGTTTGAAGTGAACGTAATGGCCGACCCTACGGTAAAGGTTTTGTTTAAGAAGCTATAGATAGGTAACTTCAATAATCCATAGTTGCAAATAAAACATACACAAAAATCAGGGGATGGTCATTCAACAGCCTAACGGTTACGTGAAATCTAGATGTCAGAAGAGGATGCATAAGAAGCGCAATTTATCTATTAAACTACTTGCTCATCTGAGTGTCTGCTGCAATCATGACAGCCTCCTACCATCGTTCCTTTCGTCTAGTATTTTGTGCTACTATCAGACCGATCTTCTACTATGAATGTTTTTATCTGATACTTGTGAATATCACGGTGAGATTGGAGATCCGGATAATATTCCTAATTATAGAGGAAAGCTAAGAGAGGCAATGGCTTCTTATTCATAGAGTAGTATCATATACATGAGAACATCATCATGTTCGCCTCAATGGAGTACTAATTAGAAAGGGCCCAGAACAACATATTACACATGATAGCCATTACATAAAAAAAATCGGTGAAGGGGCAGAATAAACGTGTAGCTGAAATTCCTTCCCCTTGACATTCCAAGAAGATATCAAGAGACTATTACTTTGTGTGATGAGACTAGTAGTCTTGTAGAGGACAGCATCTCAAACTATTGACAATCGCCGTCCATAATCTGCAGTCCCACCCTATACGATCTAAAGTTATCATTATGGAGTGGCATGCTGTGCTGCGCCCCGATTCATAGGGCTTAGAGCTGGTTCGTAAAACCGGAACAGACCTCAGCGGGAAGATGATCCTAGTTTAAGCGAAGCCAATCATTTTTTCACGATCTACTCCGTATCGGCATACGAGATATCCCCAGCAGCTATACGTCATAGCAATACGAACTTTTATGTCTCTTCCATACTCCGAACATCTACTATCAGAGCCGCGAGAAACCAAGTTATTTATACAAACAAAAGTTAGGACAATATCAATCGGCCACCCGTAAGCCTTGCGAAATTGCTTTATAGGAAAAAATATGACGGTCAAAATGGCTCTGCATATGTATTTATTACCATATCTACCTATGTACCGTATACCAGACCACCGCGTCGCTGCCTCTCCATCGAAGCATTGAACTCGTAAAATGCCAATCGCTAATTTTGACCAACGCAAATGCAGTATAAGTAAAATATACAAATTCTAGTGTAGTATAAGTTTAGAGAATGTGCGTAAGATCGCAGGCGATTATGTGGCTCTATCGGCCTTCTTTGTTCAGTGTGTCGAGTTGAGACTCCTGAGCCTCCTGAGCAACGGGCAAATAACTTCCCTTTTTGCTATGCGCATAACGGTCTTTGGCCCAACCGTATAGGGCACTTCCGCTTAGAATGAGAGCCATGCTGCCTGCACGATTGGCAGTGATTGGCTCTCCAAGAGTCACAACGGCGATGGCGCTTTGGGCCACGCCTCGTGCGGCTGTCACAATCATGTGAGTGGTTGGACTGGTAACTTCGATTTGCATGAATGTTGCTATCGTGAGCAAGAATCCGGCCACGCCAGTAAGCACTGCTGTGCCCAGGAACTGGTGAGCAGTGGCAGACACTTCAGGCGTGGCTGTCGAGCTGAAAAGAGCTGCAGTGGTTCCCAGTTCGCCAGACAAGACAAGCAGCGGCATGTAAAACCCGACGGCCATGACGTTGGACATCCAGACCATCTGCCACATTCCTTCGCTGCTCTTGCCGAGAAAACGCTTGACGACAACGGACTCGACGGCTGTGGTAAAACTAGAGATAACTCCGAGCAATACACCCTTGCCGCTGGTGAGCATCTGGCTGTAGTCTGATGCCATTCCGGCGCCGAAACCAGCCATGACCATGGCGCATCCTCCAAGGGACAACGGCGGGTAGTAGGGGCGTGGTCGGAGCACAAGAAGCGACAGCATGAGGGTGAAGGGGAGCAGAAGTCCTCGAGCGATCTGGTAGACCGATGCGTTAACCGAAGCCAAGCAGTACGTCTTTGCGAGAATGCCGACAAGTCGGGCAGCAGTGAGCGGGAGAAGTGCAATCCAAGCCTATAACAAGTACCATTCCATATTAGTAGCTGTCACACGAATGCGCGGCGTCGTAGCATCGATATCGTCGGTTCCACGATGATCACGACCGGATCGTGGGACAGATAAGCCGCTGCAGTGCCACTTATCACGACAGGAACATACCGAAACGGGTCTTGACAGTGTGATCCATTTTGTAAAGTAGCCGATGGATGTGAGGAGCACAACTTGTACGGTTGTCTGGAAAGCCAGCAATGTCACGGGAGCGTCGATGCCGTTCAACGCTTTTTTGGAAAGGATTGTACTCAAGATGGCGCACGTCGAGTGGAAGAGCACAACCAAGGCGATTCGGCGCCTGGAGGGCGGATGGCCTTCTGGAGCTTCACTCATGCTGGAGCGATTCTATTTCGTAATAAAGGGTCTGAGCGAGTGACTGGAAAGGGAATAAACGAATGGCAGGAATATTATTCCGTAAACACACGGCGACGAAAGGAACATACAACACGACTACTTCGCACTTTGGTTACAGAGTCAAAATCTCTAGGCGTCTGTAGGCAACGGAAATGCAACAGGTTTCCAAATGCTAGCACTAGTAAGTAAAGGGGCAAGCTAGTGACTTGCCCAGGAAAGATTATTCCATGCGGCTCTCACACCACACTCGCACATTACAGGCCCTACGGAGTACAAGTACGGGGTTCAGTATTACCACCATGGGCTACGAAGATCCTCAACAAGGCTCAGCAGCATGGAGTGGCATATTCTGTAGTGGGGATCATCTTATCAGGCACGGCCCACAAGTCGTTGACGGAAAAAAAGCCCCATGGATACAGCACACGACGGTACTGTAATTTTACAAAGAGCTGTACTGTATGGAATCACATGGAGATGATAACTACGTTTGTCATGCTTGTACTGTACTCGTCTACTGTATGAGTCTCGCCCGATACGCAAGATACGCTCCTGGGCCTTGACAGTAGTATATATAATCAAACCTACTTTACCAGGCTTGCCGAGCGACTCCGTAATATTCGTCCAAGAACGCACCCGATTTTCCGTGGGTGCTTGCGTTTCCAGAACGGAGAAGTTTGCGAATGTCCGTTTCGGCGATCATCTACTTACGCGGCCGCCCCTTTTCTCTACATACTCCATACAGACAAGCTAAACGCACACGGAGCTACTATTAGTAGCAGCAAAGTCAAGCAAACAAGGCACATCCAAGGATGATAGAAATTTGCGGCTGATGATGCTCCTGCTCGGTCCAATAAGCAACAGTCTCCCATTGACTCGTACCACCAGTAGGCGCGCAACGGCGCTCAGGTGCAATCCCTGATTACGTCGCCTCCATCACGCTAAAGACTTGGCAGGCTCCGCTAATAATAACATGAGGGAGCTAGAGAACATCAGCCAGCCACTCATGGCCGCGTATATCGAAGAGCCGTCGAGATGGTATAGTTGCCAAGACTTGACAACTCTTGAGACGAATGCCGCCTATTCCGATACCACCTCAGTGACCTCTTTGTACCAAGTACTCAGGGCTGATTGTTGGCTTTATCCTTGCAATAATGACGAGGGTCTGCAGCAAATACAGAGGGAATAAAAACCAAAGAGAGACTATTCCTGCTCCCATAGGTAGTTTTGCGGAGCTAGAAGAAGTCGCTTCATATGAAGAAATACTAGTATGTATTGAAGAGAAAGAAGAAAAGAAAGAAGAAAAAAAAACCATAGAGGCCATCTCTCATAAATCTAATGCAAAAAAAAAAAAAGAAAAAAAAAATTGCTACGTAATCCGTACATGATAAGAAAACCCCACCCCCAGAGACCCAAATTATCGAAAATATAACGCTGTAGAAATTGATCGCTTGTAGGGCCGTCATCATGCCGAGCCAACGTCCGCCGGGACAATCCCACTCTTTCGGAAATCCTCATCCATCCACTTCCTCACGTTCAGCCGGTTCTGTTTCATGATTTTCTGGGCAGCCTCCCTGACTGCCTCTTTCTTCTCCAAAAAGGCTTTCCTATCGCCGACCACCCTTTCGACCGTTTCCATTTCCCTTTCGTCTGGCTCTGACATCCAGGCTGCCTCACGGGGCAAATATGAATAGGAGGCGAGAAGCTTTTCGTTCGCTACCAAAGGAACTCCCGCAATAAGCGAAGCGGGAACCGTAGAAGAGGCCTTGCGGTCGAGGTAGGTGTCAGATGCAAACGCGGGAATAACTGCGTATGATTGTGACAGTAGTCTGTAAAACTCGGGATACGAAAGATCCTCGTCAAATGCGACATTGCTCTTGATGTTTTTAGGCACCTTGACGTGCGGACCATGTCCAATCAAGTGTAGTTTGACCGTCTCGTCAATGTGGTCGCTGTTTGTAGCAGCGCTTCCGTTAATCTTCTTCACGACGTTGTCCAGGCTGCCAAAGATTCGGTTGTAGTCTCGGCGCTCGGGAGCGTAATCTCCTTGCAGGGCAAGTGAAATCTCCCGCAAAGTGTCGTTGTGTGTCTGGTTGACGGGGAAAATTGGGGGAAATGTTCGTGCCGTGACACTTGCCTGCAAGTTTTCCCACTGAGGCACTGATTTTTGCAGAAGATAATCAACCGTATGCTGGCTGAGGCCGATGAAGTCAACTCGTTCCCGGTCGACCCATTCTCTAACAACGTCGACATGTTTGCCCTTGTTCCAGTAGTCGGCATGGTGTACCAGGCAGAACAAATGTGTTGTCTCGTTAAACAAAAGGTGTCGCAGAGGAGCTACTACGGACTCTGGCTTCTCAAGGTCCAGTTCGCAAGTCGTGGAGACAACAAAGTGAGGCGGGGGAAGGTTCGCGACGTCCCTCTTGAAGTAGTTGGAGCTGTTGACCGACAAAATGGGCGTTTCCAGCTCTAGGGCGTTGACGATAACATCAGACTGGTAGCGCTGTTTGGCAAAGTAGAGTCTCAGCTCTGCGTTCGGGTGTCCACCAAATGCGTATACCAACGCTGCCGTCACTTCATCATGGACGCCGGCAGACTCGACAATAGCGATACGTATCGGCTCATGCTTCTCACATGGGAAACGGTCATTCCACCATAGCAGGTCGTCGTCCGTCGTGAAAAGGTTCTGCCAGTCCTTACCAAGCAGCATAGACCTGGTACTCTCACGGCTGCTGAGGAAAAGTAATGCAATAGCAAGAAGAATAAAGAATAGGTAGAATGAGCGTAATCGCCTATAGTAGGCGGTGAAAACCATCTTGAGCATGTTTAGAAAGAATACAGTCATAAAGATAACAGAAACAAAAACATCATGCCCTTCCACTATGGCACGTAAAAAGAAGAAGGCCAGAGACGGAAAAAGGTTACGGAAAGGTCAAGATTGCCACGAAGGAATTGCCCCGGACCATAGTTTAAAATCCGGGAGTCTTGTCTATGGATTCATGAGCCCCAGCATGCCCCGGCCGCCACTTTCCACATGTGTGCATAGCGGAGGCTGATCGATATTTACCGCTGTCCAGGCAGCTCGCTCACACTCCTTTAATGAGCCCAACTCTGGAGACGTTGTCATGCCAGCTTGGACACTAGTATCAAGAACCCTGCAGCAGGCTAGCCGGCCGCCTGGTGGGGATGATAAACCGGCAGATCCTGGTAGCTGACACTACGAGTACACTGTCCTGCTTGGAACCGGAATTAGGGGCAGCCTTGAGCATGCAGACATGGGTCAAGAATCCTGTAGAATGATCAAAGTACCGGATACTTGTTCAGCTTTGCTAAGGCGTATTGCCGCTAGGCTCGCTATTTGCGACGCTTTTAACACGTCCCACTGTGGTTTGATCTCAGGCGAATTTTGTCTTATGACAACCTTCATACCCGTGACACCTGTACAACCCAGAGCAGGTGTCACTGTCAGCATTGAAGAGCATAGTAGCTACGGTGCACGCTTCTCGCCATGCTGCTTGCGAATCGGTTTGGCCGGGCCACGATTATCGCTGGGGGCACCCTTCTGATATCGTTGCTCTTGGTGATACTGGCACAGAGCGCCGACCTGAGATCACATCTCCCTAGCTCCACGTCAATATGGCCGGCTAAGGAGTGCTCTGCGTCGTCTTTGGGCGAGAGCAGGAGAAACATTTCTTATGATCTAACGACGCCGCCTTCGGTCGGATGTGAGGATATTGTCAATGATCTCCAACAACGACTCATCCAATCATATACGCAGAGTCTAAAGGGTGTTCGATATGCAAACATCTGGGGCTATCTGGAAACAGAGAACAAGGGCGATGCCGCCATTTGGTCCGCCCAGCAGATTCTCATGAGCATGCTCGGTATTGAGATGATGGAGGCATGTCGGTAAGACTTGACGCCCGGAATCAAGCGTGAATCATTCGTCATCCTAATCCATTCCCTCCACAATACAGGTTCGTTGATCGAGACTGCGACATCGGAAAATTTCGCAAAGTCCTTGAAGAGCACCGCCCTCATTCGGCCATCATCATGGCAGGTGGCGGCAACTTCAACGACTACTACTGGGAGGACCAGCCTTCGCGTATGAAGATGATTGAGACCTTTACCAACGTTTCTATCCGAGCGTTCCCCCAGAGCGTTTACATGACGAACCCGGAGCGTATCAAGGCGACCGAAGAGGCTTTTGGGAAACACAAGGATCTGCAGCTTGCCGCACGCGATCAGCCCAGCTACGACTGGCTCGACAAGACGTTTGGCAAGAAGGAGGGAATCGACAGCCATCTCGTGCCAGACATTGCATTCATGTGGGGGAACCGATCCGACTTCCGAGTCAATGGGAAAAAGACGTGCGTATCTTGTCACCGTTGCACCGCAGGCGACCCCAAGTCTTGCTTTGACGTATTCTGACCATTGCTCTCTTGACCTTACAGACACGATATTCTCATCCTCGCTCGAAAAGATGCGGAGATTTCCGACGGTGACTCGTCCGATATCGAGTTTGGCGAAGGCGAAATGGACCTCGGCGGCAGCATCGGCAAGGTCACCTACCAGAAAGTCGACTGGAAATTCACCCACACGCCGGACATCGACCCGCCAAAGGCCCGTGATGAAGCCAACGGCACACCGGCACCCAAGCGAGAGAATGGCAAAAACCAGCGTGCCTGGGCCAAGGCCATTGCTGGATTCGAACTGCTGGGATCTGCTCGCTTCGTCATCACCGACCGTCTTCACGGCCACATTCTGTCCACACTTATCGGAGTCCCCCATGTTCTCATGGACAGCAAGCTGGGCAAGAACCTCAACTTCCACAACACTTGGACACGCGACTGCGAATGCACAAGGATTGCCTTTTCCATCCAAGAGGCACTAGACGTCGCACGCTTGTATTTCGAGAAGGAGAAGATTGAACAGCATTAGCCCGTCTTTTTTACGTCCGTCGATCAGAGTCATGCATGGGTAAACATAGAGCAGGGCACTAAAATCTTGTACCGTCACAAGTGGCTGGTTTTTCTTGTTTCTCTTTTCAACTTGTTCTTGTACCATAAATGCCGGAGAGACTTTGATTGGGGAATTAATGATTAATTGACGTACATCTTCATTACAATATAGTTGTTTCAGCATCTATAACCCGTATCCTGTGCCTGAGACAGTACTACCACTACTGCCACTACTGCTCCATACCACTGCTGTGAGGTCACATGACCTCCTAAGACCCAGATAGGTCGGTCTTCCCTCCGAAGGGACCTAGATAGAAGCAAGCTTCTTCCTACATCATACTCGGTCCCTTGCCTATGTGACCCTTGATGTGATAGCCCAGCCGGACGAGCCCTGACAACTGCAGTGTCCACAATCCTTGAGCACAATTGGTCGCGTGAACCTCTTCGGTTTCACCAGCACTACCTAAATTAACAAAATCTCCGGTAGCGAGGGGAATGGACTGTGGCGTCTTCGCGCTAGGATATTTGACCGGGTTACACCAGCGCAGTTGACATCGTTAGCCCTGTTTCTCAGAGATCCAAGACACTTTAGCCGGGTCAGGGTAGGGTAATGATCCAGTGGGCCAAATTGTGTTCCCAATATCGGAAACGTGGCTGCTAATAATCTCAGAGAAAGATGGAAATGTCGTGCCTGTACTCGTATTACTCGTCCAGCCTTATGCACTGGCCACTTAAAACTTAGATACGCTTTATTATCCGATACGAAGGGACACAGCGTGTCTTGGCTGATCGATACCGCAAAGTACTACGGAGTAGATAACAATGGTTCAAGTTGCTAGGTCCTTTTGGGGGCAAATAATATGCCTCAAAGAGCAGGAGACTACAAAGATTAGCAAGATTGCAACAAGACTTGCTTCCCCCTTTTTTTCTCTTGGCATAACAGACGCCATGGGCAGTTGTCCCCCGCTTCAAATGAGTCTTTAAGTACTCCATAAACCCCCATGATAACTAGTTATCAACGGGGTACAGACTACACTAGGCGCAAATGCGACTAGTATTAGCTTCCACTCGGGCCAGGGCAACAGGGCAAGTTATCGAAATCAGAGGTTGTTGAAGAATTGCTTTAACCGTCAGATACCAGGTTAAGTAACACTGGTTACTATCCATGTTGGATCTAAAACTTGAGATGGCCAAGCATGATTCCATGCGAGTGCAATATTAACAGCGGAATAAAATAAGTTCATCAAAGAAATTAGTATACAACTATGACGGTGCCTTTCTAACAGGGCTAACCAGCCGCCTGACGCTATTTCCTGTTAGTTCACATCAGGGCTTTGCCATTGTGAACAAAAAGTTTCCACTGTCTACACACGCTATCTTGCAACTCACACAGAGCGTCATGCAGTTCCAGGACGAAATTATCGTCCGCCCTCGTCTCCTGTCTCCGTGCTTTAATTGCGCCAGTGTCATATGCAGCACACATTCCAAATTTAGTCTTTTTTTTTTGGAGCGAGTAGTTGTATGGTATATCAGTCGCAAAACTCTGCGAGAGCATACGCTACTCTTATCCGACATGACTATTTTACATGCGAGGTTCTCAATTCAATTGTAATTTTGGTTGTCAATTAGGAAAAGAAGCGATCGTGGAAGAGAGTAGCGATCGTAGAAGAAGTAGCAACAAGAGAAGATGATTAATGAACGGGGTGTCTATGAACGTGTCTACCCAGACAGGTACTGTAGTGGTGGACAATAGGCAGCAACAGGTTCAAAAGGTTGGGAACATTTGTTTCATCTTGAAAAGGCGCAAGTTTTCAACGATATCTCTATGTCCACTAAAGAAGGCAGACTAAACAGCATCATCTACCCCCCTCAAAGCCAACTCTAATATCCCCAATCGCAGAAATATCAACTTTCATCCATATTCTTCCCCTAAGCGACCCAACAATGACTCTACTCCTGTTTCTGAGATAGAAACGGGGCTTGTTCCGTTTATACCATACCCATTCTCAATAGCTTGTTACCAAACTCCAGAAAATAATAGTCGGCGTATACCAAACCGTGATCACTGTATCTCACAAGCGCATATTCGTTATTATTCGCTGTGGCATGCTTCAGAATGCAATCAAACGTAACACCCTCAGCTCTAATGTTAGATTCTGCATCGGCGATCAGTCGCGCCGGTTCAATTGCTTGACACATGTCTATGGTCTCGCTTGCGATGCGTAACGCGTCGTCTAGGTATTTTGATCCATCTCCCAGGATCTGATGTAAGAGCAAAAGGCCATTGGCAGCTATCATGCCTGCAGAAGAGTCGCGCAACGGCTCATCACCAACCGGTGCATCAAAATCCCATAGGGGCACACAAGGATACTTGTGCGTTGCGCTTCGCAGGCGCTGGAGAAAATGCTCAGACAGGCGAATGGCGGTTTCTAGGAAAACTTGGTCCTTGGTCCAGATGTAAGTTTGTGCAAAGCCTAGAATTGTCCATGCTTGACCTCTATTGAAGGATCCGTTAGCATAATCCCAGCAGTCATATATGTGAACCCTACCTTGACCAGGTTGAATCGTCACTGTAGCCCTGATGAGTGTGCTTTGTTTTCAGAGATCCATCACGAGGATCGATGTTGACTACATGCCATGTCGAGTCATCGTTTCGGATCAAATTCTTTCGAACAAAATGGGCATGGTTTGTCGCAATGTCAATGAGACGCTGATCCGACGTTTGATGCCCTGCGTAGAATAAAAGATCCATGTCTTTTTCCAGTTAGACCTACAATGATTTGCCCATCTTATTGCGCTTGACTTACTGCACATGCTGTCCACAATCACAAGGAAATTGGTCTCCTTGTCAGTAATCGAGTACCTCTTGCTGATAGATTTGTCCCAACTTCTGACAGCTTTCATTCTCTCATCATAGCGAGATGCCAAGTTCTCAGCGGCCGTTAACACAGAAGCAAGGCTCTCATAGTTTCCCGTCAACTCCCAATCTTGCCGCAAAGCAGGCTGGGTGATGAAGCCAAGGTCGTGGGTATTAGTTCTCTTGGCCATCTGGTGGAGAGGAGCCGACCAAGCGCGACACAGCTTGAGCAACTCAGCATGGAAAGCAGAGCGGTCTACTCCCGGTAATGGCTGATACATGGGAAACTTGACACATCTCTCTAGGACGCAATACAGATTCCCAGGGAAGAAGCCGCATGTCCAGAAATTGACTTCTTTAGTGTTGTACTTCCCTGGTGTCTCGCCGTCTTCAGGCGCCCATTCAGGGTATTCAGCAGGCGCTTTCTACTCACAATGTTAGAGCTTCTTTTTCCAACTCATATTGAGACCACTAGGGAAATTATGCGAGTAGCTTACACCGTCTTCCAAGCGCTCTGATGCAACTTTCCACAATTTTGCACCGATGGCTTCAGAATACAGCCCAGAGAGTCGGTTTGCTAAATGACTAGGAGATAATTCCTTGCTAATGTGAGGTTTTGAATCCTCCATCGACAGTACAGAGGGTGATGTGGGTAGACTGTCTTGGCTATCGTGACGCGACAGCCCACCCCGCGGGCTTCCTCGTGAAGAGTCTGTCGATGAAGCCATGTTTGCAACCTATAATGTCGATTCTCAATTACGCCAAAGTACAAATTATGAGAACAAATTATGGGAAAGTCGGGAGTAGGTCTATCTACTCTAAAAGAAGTTTAAGTTCGGAATGCAGTCCCTCTCTGACATGTATGTATCTGAGTATGATTTGTGGTGGACACCTGGACCCATCATTTCCCACTTGGAACACCGCGTATCAAATGCAAAGGTCACGCTCGTTACGTTGATTGCCCATGTTGCTTGTTTGTTGTATCCTCGCTCTCGATTACTCCGGCTTTCCGCCCCGGATATGTTCTCCGACACTTGGCCCGACGCGCCGATGGTGGTGTCATTCAGCTAGCATGGATAGTGCCGGGGTAAATGGGCATCGGCTTCATGTTAGCGACTTACTGCAAGGTCCTCGATGAAATCATTCTCTAAATATCGCCATGAGTAAAAATGGCAGGCGTCTCTCTCTGGGTGGCCGATGAATTATTTCACAAGACACCCTCCAAACTACACTACCTCCAACCCTGCCTATTTTGGCAGCTATTTCATGTGACAACACTTGAACCAATCAGCACGCGTCATGGCAGCTCTCGGAAATGGAGATTCCAGATTCAATCCCCTTCATGGGAACCCTTTCAAGACGAGAGATGATGTTGCCAAAGCCGTTATTTCACTATTTGAACCTCTGCTGCCTGCTTTCTCTGAAGGAAACGCTCGTGTTCAAATCGATGCGTCCACATCTACATGGGACCGCGCGGCATGCGATTTAGAGGGCTACGCCAGACCGTTATTTGGGATTGCGCCTTTGGTTGCTGGCGGAGGAAAGTTTGATCATTGGGACAAGTACAGGGAGGGACTCAAGAATGGCACGGATCCGCAGCATCCAGAGTATTGGGGACCCGTGCCATCAATGGACCAAAGGCATGTGGAGGCGGCTGCACTCGCGTACGCCATCTTGCTCACTCCCGACCAGTATTGGAAGCCACTCGATGATACAGTGAAGAGCAATGTTAGTAAATGGCTGCTACAGAGTCGCAATGGAGAGCATGGATCAAATAACCACAAATACTTCCGAATAATGGTCGATCTTGCCCTGGAGAGTGTCGGTGTCAAGGTTGATACTGCTGGAACAAATGAGTACTTGGACGACATGGAAAGTCTTTACATATCAGATGGATGGTATCGCGATGGAGAAGACGAAGGCGATACGCGCCGTATCGACTACTATAATCCCTTTGCAATGCACTACTATGGATTATTTTATGCCGTCCATCGGCCGTCAGATAAGGCGCGTGGCGACCGGTTCAAGGAGAGAGCGCGAGAGTTTGCTCCTGTCTTCATGCATTGGTTTGCAGATTCAGGCTCAAACATTCCCTACGGACGGAGTTTGTCTTATAGACAATGTGTTGCCGCTTACTGGGGATACCTGGCAGTGGCTGGTGTCGAGGCATTGCCTTGGGGTGTCATCAAGGGCATATATCTACGCAATCTTCGATGGTGGGCAGCGCAGCCCGTCTCCCGGCGCGACGGTATCTTGACGCTTGGTTATGCGTATCCAAACCCATTTATGGCAGAGCGATATTTATCAACTGGTTCACCATATTGGGCCATGAAAGCTTTCAGTCCATTGAGCTTGTCGGCAGACCACCCATTCTGGGCGGCGGAAGAGCTTCCCATGCCTCAGCGTTCCTCAGTAGCTGCGTTTCCAGTGCCGGGTCTTACTTTCATGCATACGCCTGGTCATACCATTATGCTCAACTCTGGACCGGATTCAAATAAAGCTATGCGCTTTGTACCAGAGAAATATCTTAAGTTCGCCTATTCAACTCGGTACGGCTTCTCCGTGGAGAGCGATAGTCGAGGATTTGACGTCGGTGCCTTTGATAGCATGATTGCGCTGAGCGATGATGGCATACACTATAGGGTTCGAGAACATTGTGAAACTGCTAGAATGGCGGGAAGCAAGATTTACTCCTCATGGCGTCCGTGGTCCGACGTTGTAGTTGAGACTTGGCTTATTCCATACCCAGACTGGCACATCCGCATTCATCGCATTCAATCGCCACGGAGACTTGCCACTATCGAAGGTGGATTTGCAGCACCAAGAACTGATTTCAACGCGGACGAGACCCAAGAAAACGATGATGCTGCGTTTGTAATATCTACGACTGGCGACTTCAGTGGTATACTGGATGCCTCATCGTTGCCAAAGCGAGTCGCGAGAGTCACCAAGCCTCACGGTAATACCAGTCTTATGTTCCCACGAACACTGGTGCCCCAGCTCAAGGGAACAGTTGAGGCAAACGAGACTCGAGTTTTTGCCTGCGCGATTCTTGCTGGCCCATCGGCCAAGGAACGTTGGTCACATCCACCCGCAATTCCAGCACTTGATGAAGTTGAAAGAATGTTTCAAAACGAGGGAGTCGATATAGAGATTGTCAAGCATTATTCTCGCTCTAGAAACTAGCGTAGTGCTCGGAATATGGCGCTGTTTTATCAGTCTATCGATGTGTTGGACGCATTTCGAATAACACGCACCTGTGCTACCATACAAGCAGCCGTGTCTTCGTTCTATCCTTAATCCCAGAAAAGAAGAGATATTTTATCAGTCTAATGTAAATTATCGTCACCTAGAGGTACATTCATTATGTTCACACTCAGTACCTTGGTTGTGTAATTCCACCTGCTCTTTTATGGCGCGCACTACCCTGTAGATTAAAACATAGGTATCAATAGAACAATGTTGCCACTGCTTAGAGACGTCGGCCATAGATGATGTATTATGATTAATTCAGTAGATTACTTTCCATGCTCTATCTTTACTGTTAGTTCCTAAATGCCATTTGGATCGTGAACAATGCGTCTATCTACGATATTTACAAGTCGTCCATATCGTCCACCCCAGTAGACTACTAGACACCTGGCTGATAATGGTTGCCTTTGTTTTGCTTTGCGGCCTAGACGCCCGATCTCGAACCTACCGCCTCTAATTCACAATTGAATGATCCGAAACTATGAAGAACGTTACCTCTCAGTTCTCAAGATGCACGAGGAGTTCCCCGTCTCACAACCTGTGGCTACGCTAGAGGCCCCCTCTCCCGTAAATCGGGCCTCAGCTTCGGGTCTTCGGCATCGAATCCCTACCATCGGAAAGCCCCCCCGGAGCATCGGCCTCGAACTACTCCGCACGCCGGAGTGCTGGCACTACTGACCAGTCCACGAGGGATCTGGGCTATTCTATTCACAAGACATCATTAGTTCTTCTAGACAGTAACAGACAATGGCTTCAGTCACATGCCCCACTCCAACCCTTTTCCTTGATCAAACTTTTACCCCATGGGGAAGATAGACGCCTTTCCCAAAGTTCATCCCGCATTCCCCAGAAATCACTTGGCTTCTTTGCCGAGTGGCGGCAAGCGGGAGGAAGGCTTACCGGTCAGCGTTATAAGGGAAACTAGCCAGTGAGTTGGTTCGGCCCGTCTGAGAGCCTCGCCTGAGTCCCCATGTTGCGTTGCCGGGTGTTTGTCTGCCAGCCATTAATAGGTCACGACCTCCTTTGTGAATCCAGCAATGTTTTAACCCACATCTACTGTCTTCATTGATCTAGGGTTCTCATCTATTGAATAAGCTCAGGCGAGACTTTGGCATTCGCCGGCTTGTGCAATGTTTCAAGTTAACAAAGCTTCGGTCCGCGGTGTTGAGGGTCACACCCTCCGCGAGACTGATAAGCGCGACCGCTTTTGGTGGCATTATCCTGGTCTCCGCAGCCTCAATTTTCTTTTGCTTGGCTGTATTGTTTGTGATATGACCAATGGATATGATGGCTCTATGCTGAATGGTCTTCAATCACTCCCGTCATGGCAAGAGGCCTTGGATCATCCGACAGGTACGAGTGACATCTCCGATCATGCTCTGATAAACGTCCAATACTAATCAAAATTCCAGGTACTCGTCTCGGTACGATTTCTAACGGCACGAGATATGGACAACTTGCCGCTCTCCTCATCGCTGCTCCCTTGATTCAATGGCTTGGACCTCGACGTCCGATTACGATTGGCTCTCTTCTTCTGCTCATCGGAGTTGCGCTTCAAGCCAGCGCCCAAAATTACGCCATGTTCGTGTTTGCTAGGTGTCTGATTGGCTTCGGAAATACGATCCAGAATACAGCATGGTGAGTTGGTGGAAAAACTCAATAGTAATGGATAATTAGCTAACTAATTATGCAGCCCGATCTTGGCGAGCGAGCTGGCTCATCCATTTCAGAGGACACAGATCATTGGCATTCAGAACACAACTGGCTCTCTAGGCCAAATCATGGCCGCATGGATCACCTATGGCACTTCATTCATCGTTGGGTCTTGGTCATGGCGACTTCCTTCACTTCTTCAGGCATTATCATCCTGTTTCCAGTTGGTCATGTCTTTCTTCATTCCCGAGTCACCTAGATGGCTTGTCTATCAGAATCGCAGCAAAGAGGCATACGAGATTCTGGCCAAGTACCATGCTGAAGGTGACGAGTCTTCGCAACTACTGCAGTATGAAATGGCAGAAATCGAAGCGGCGATTGAGGCAGAGAAGGTGCAAGCATTGTCTTCATGGATGGGGTGGTTCCGAACCGCCGCTAATCGATACCGACTCTTCATCATTGTGACATCTGGTTTCATCATTCAATGGTGTGGAAATGCCTTGCTGTCATACTACATCCACCTTGTCTTCAACTCCATCGGTATAACCAACAGCAAGAAGCAACTTCTTCTCAACGGCGGCATCACCATCAATGGTTGGGTTTGGGGTAATACGTTCTCGCTCTTCATCGACAAAATAGGCCGCCGCCCGATGTGGCTGATTGGTATGAGTGGAATGTTTGTCGCATTCTTGTTGCTCACCGTATTCACTGGCGTCAACACAAGCATCAATTACGAAAACCATGCCCTCGGCCGGGCTACTATTTTTACCATTTTCCTCTTCGGCGTCTTTTACAAGATGCCTGGCTGTATGCTCAACTCGTACGTTGCTGAGGTGGCGCCCTTTGACCTGCGTGCGAAAGCTTTTGTCATTTCGAGCTTTGGCGATGCAGCAGCAAACATCTTCTCGGGGTACACCAATCCCATTGGATTGCAACACATAGGCTGGAAATATTATATTGTTTGGTGTTGTGTTCTCGTCAGCAACTTTTGCATCATATACTTCTTTTACCCTGAGACCAAGAACCTCTCACTGGAAGAAGTTGCACAACTATTCGACGGCCCCAACTCTGTCGAGGCAAAGCTTCACGAAGGCACCGAGGAAGTTGAAGAGAAAAGAGGCGAGATTAACGAGGCTACGACTGTGGTTCATGTTGGATGAGTTGGTGTTGATGTAATGTCATTATACGAGGACCTGAACTTTGGACCCACTCTCTTAACGAAGTGTACATGTAGTATTTCGTACATAGTTTTACGCGTAATATATGGAATTCCCTACCTCTAACACGCAAGTACTCGTATGTGTGTCAAACATTGTAAAATAAGTCAACTATCAGCAACCTCAGTGGTGGAATTTCCTCCAACGTCAGACCCGCCCAACAGCTGAGGCTTGCCGCTTTATCCTAAAGTGTGAGTGCTAGTGGTAATAGTGCTGTAAAGACTGACAATCGTTGGTTAGTATTGGAGGAGCCCCCGCAAACAGCTGACCAACCTAGAAAGCTGGTTAACTGGGGTGAGCAGACCCTGCGTCACCCTGTTTCTTGGGGCGGCTAGGAACACGCGACGTGCGTTCAGCGCAACGACATCTGCGTCGTCTCATGCCTTGTATGGACATATCTGCGCTTAAGCGTAATTAGGAATGCGATCCATCGAGACCACCTCCGTCGTCTTATAGTTGCTCGTGCTTGTAGCCTTTGAGAGACTGTAAGATGGACCAGGTTCCACGCAGTATGAGAAGCCCAGCACGTTCGGCGGGTGGGGAAGACGAAGGTTCACCACACCCTGATGAGTTGCCTGCGTGCCTGTCATGCAGGAGAAGGAAGTCTCGATGCTCTCGTGAGAGGCCGAGTTGCGCACAATGTATCAAGATAGGTAATCCAGCGCTCGCGTCCCTAACATTATCTTTACGGATAGGTGGTAACACAATGTGCCCCTAGGTGCCGAATGTCAGTATGTTGTGAAGCAAAAACCTGGTATCAAGGCCGGGGCTGTCGATAGTCTCAGTCGGCGACTCGGTAGGATAGCATTGATCTGCCTGCATTTTCTACAATCTACTAACCAGAGCAGAAACATTGGAGCAGATTCTTCTGGATACTTCTGGCAACACAAAAGCGAGACTAGCTGCTTTGTTGAATGGGGATCTTGAGAGACCTATGAGAAACGAATTCTCACCCACGAAATCTCCTTCGATGGAAAGGCAACAGAGACCGTATGATGCATCTCGACATGCAGGTCAAGATTCACTAGTCGAAATCGCCCCTCAATCAGACCATCACCGCAGCAAACGACAACGCATTGGCGATGAGCAGGACCGATACTGCGATACAAATGATGAATCTTGGATTACGCCATTGCCTCAATATCACTTGTTAGAAGCTGTAGTGGAAGCTCATTTTCAGACAGTGCATCACTGGATACCCATCCTCCATGAAACAAGATTTCGAGCCAAGTTTAAGGACCCTATTCAGAGGCAAAAGCTTACTGTGCTCCTTCATGCTTTGCTTTCCGCAGGAATTAAATATGTCGACTGCACGGCCTTTGGAATGAGTATTCAGGACGTCACAAGACAGATTCGCATCTCTCGAAGCACGGTGATGGAAAATGCTATGGAATCTCTTTCCATTGAGAATACCCAAGCTCTGGTGATAATTGCTTTCGACTATGTAGGCAATAGCTCCTCCTTAGTTCTGATGGATTACTAACAGTTCCATAGATGGGAAGTGGCCACGTTCAAAAAGCATGGCCTATAATTGCATCTTTAACGAGGGTTGTTGACTACCTGCAGCTAACGGTAGAGCCAGACGAAGACTCACCGAAGCAGCCTTTATTAAGATCTTTAACTGTCTTGGAAAAGCCACTTGACTGGACAGACTCCGAAGCACGCCGAAGACTTTTCTGGAGTATTTTCCTTCTAGACAGGTATATCAGATGTCCCGCATACGTGGCAATCAAGCAACTGATGAAATATATTTTAGAATCTGTTCTGTTACTACTGGGTAAGGGCTTGTGACCATGGATGTGGTAACTCTAGACTGATGTATTCAGGTGGCATACGAGCCTCACATCTGACGACGTTCATCGACGCCTCCCTTGCGGCGGGGCAATGTGGGCGAGAGCAGAGCCCGTTTCAACGCCCTATTTTGGAATATGGGATAAATCGACGGCGAAAATCGGCAACTCAATATCCAATGCACCTACGATCTATGTATCACCAAAGGCGGCGATTGACCATCCCAGCCCTGGGTCCAATGGGGATGTAGACGTCTCAAAACTTGGGGCCTTTGCGTATTGTATCGAAGCAACGGAAAATCTCAGCCAGGTCACCTCATTCTTCTTGCAGCAGAGTGTCAACTTTGGTAACCGGGATGAAGTCAAGAACTGGCTCACAAGGTTTAAGGAACTTGACCTTCGCCTAGTTCAGTATGGCCTCCCCCAATCTACTCTATTATTTCGCACTGACTCGTCTCTTCATCAGTTGGAAGATGTTCTTGCCGAAGCAATGGCAGGACTCGAACGTCTCTCGAGATGTTCTAATATTGAAACTTGATCCAAACCTAACATTGGCTCATGTATCTCACAATACCTCAATGATCCTACTCCATCAACATATTGCGTACCCGCCTGTGCGCTGGAAGAACGTTGTCAAGCTACCTAGCTCATGCAGTGCGGAGACATGCCACCTTGCAGCGGTTGAAACATCGTCAATTGTGCAAAAGTATCTGAGGTTTATGGGGGGTATCGTCAATGCCCAATTCGCATTTTGCGCTTTTGTCGCTGCTAGGATTTTGCTCATTCACTGGCACTCCAGTGAAACCCATACCTTAGAGACGGAGTTTTTCAGCCTCCTGCAGAGCTTGAAAGATATGTCGGACAAATGGCACGGATACTACACATATGGGAACACATTTGGTACTGGTCCAGATCGACAACGATCCCTAGACTTGGCTGGAAGATACGCAGAGCAGCTCGAAAGTCTGCACTCCCGCTGTCTGAACGATATGACATTCTCAACAACCGACCTCATAGAGACTCTGGGCGATGCGACTCTGTATGGCTTCATCGAGGCAACGGTACAACCCAGTTCAGTCATATCGCCTAGCGGCACTGATTACAGGAATCACAACGGCCAATCACACAGACGTTATTCATCAGGGTTTGAAGCATACCAAAGAGCTGGCGTCCCGTCTCCTACAAGAGGATCTGATATGCGTTCCAATTACCAGCCACACAGATCTCCCGCTCAAACAAGACCTTCGGCTGCGTATGGAGTCCGGGAAGTTCCACAGCCTCAAGATGACATGAGTTCCCAATCGGGAGTAGGGCAATCGCCATTGGCAACGTCATCGGCTAATGCAAATATGAGGAACATACATGGCCCTTCCATCGCTTTGATGAACGACATGAACGCCGCCAATAGCTTTCCCCATAACCAGTCAATGATGGCTGAGGAGGACGAACTAACAACTATGTCGAATATGTTATTGGGAAATCAGTTCTTGGAAATGGATCGTGTCATTTCACTCCAGGGCGCTGATTTCTTTGCATTCGATTCTACAAGAGGAGTTGGCCTCTCTGGCTAATGGGAACTCAGGATATAACAGAGTCTCGAATCTGGAATGAACTGGTAGCGCAATACTGTGCGTTTAAGAACATAATATGAAGGATGAGACGGCATAATAAAGGAAATCGAACATAATTGCTACCTAAAATATCACTATTTTATCGTCATAGATGCCTGTTGCTCTATGAGGCTTCATCTCGGAGAGCATCTCCCGATATTTGATGTGGCGAAGGACATACTAGTAGCATATCTGAAAGGTACATTCAAGTCCTAGGCCTATATGATCGCTATGTCGCATTTCACCTTTCTTCTCGCTTCTACTAGGAAGCATAATAGTACTGGACCGCAGAATTTCCATATGTACCGTTTCGAAGCAATAGTCAGATCATCGGTCAACGGCATATTGCGGACATGCCGGCGGAGAGGCTTTACGCCGATGGCCGTTGTGCCGAAAGGCCGATTAGCCACTGCGAACGCTTACAGCAGGAAGAGAGCCAATTAGATCCAGTCGAACCGCGACCAATTTAGCCCATTACCACCACAAGGAGGAGATACCCGGTGGATTAACAACGAAATGAAGGTGAGTGAAGGAATAAATTAGGGTAGTACGGAACTAATAAGTCAATATATCTTTGTGGGAAAACTCAAAGCAACAAGCAAAAGTTCCAGGTCAAATCAATGTGACAGCTCTGAACACAAGCATTGGATCTTACTATGGCGGCCCCTCAAACTACAGAACCCCCCAGCCTCAAGACTATTGTTCTTGACGGCGAGCAGCTCATAGAGGCTAGAATCCGGTTGCAGGTCGGCAATGATGCCGTTTTGCAAAAGACTTTCGAAGCATTGAAGGGCAAAGCGGACGAATGGCTTACCCAAGGTCCATGGTCTGTGATGGAGAAGAAGAAAGCTCCCCCAAGCGGGGATATGCACGATTACACCAGCCAGGCACCTTATTGGTGGCCATCACCTACACCAGATGGAAATCCATATGTGCAGCGAGATGGCGAGAGGAACCCCGAGGTTCTCAATTACAGCGATCGCGTGAACGTTGAAAAGGTCTTTGCTTCATCATCGGCTCTTGGCCTTGCATGGTTTTACACTGGCAATGAGGTCTATGCCAGACACGCCGCGAATATCATCAGGACGTGGTTCATAAACCCACAAACACGCATGAATCCGAATCTCAACCACGCACAGCTTATCCCGTTTGCAAACACAGGGCGCCATATTGGCATCATTGACTTTTCTCAATGGTACACTACGCTCCTCGACATCGCCGTCATTCTAAATAGCGGTAGTCCCTCTGGCGGGTCAGCGCCTGGGTGGCAAGTCGAAGATATGGACGGGTTCCGTCAGTGGAATCGAGAATTCCTACAATGGTTGACTGAGAGCGACTTTGGCAAGGCTGAGCGAGCAGAAAAAAACAATCACGGAAGTTTTACCAGTATGCTCGTGTCTGCTATTGCTTTTTTCGTTGACAATAGAGAGCTTGTCAAACAGGAAGCAGCAAACATTCAAGCGGACATTGATGAGACGATCAGGCCTGACGGAGCCCTACCCGAAGAACTTCGGCGAACTCGGAGTTGGCATTACTCCAACTTTACACTATTGGCGCTGACTCGACTCGCCATGGTGGCTAAGAAGGTTGACGTGGATCTTTGGAATTACAAGGGGCCACAAGGACAAGGAATCGCCAAGGCTATTGAGTATATAATACCTGCCGCAACTGGCGACGCGACATGGCCATATGAGGAGTATCAGTTTGAACGATACGCCGCTGCGGATGTTATTCGCGCCGCAGCTGACGCCGGCCACGAAAAAGCGAAGCAGGCGATTGGCAGGATTGAAACACCTCTGGTAGATTTGTGGCCTTTGAGACCTGCGCCTGAGCAACTTGAACCAGTGAAAGTAAATCCAAAACATCTCATAACATAGCTGTAGGCCCAGCATATCTGTATGGGTAACTACGAGAACAATATAAAATATTTATGCAATCACGATCAACGTAACCTCCACCTTCTCTAAGCGATTCTCAAGTAACTACGCACATCTCTATATGATGGCCTCACTAGTGTTTGTCGGTGATACCGTCTCAATATCACCTAGATTCCTTGCACATCACCTTTTATGGAGTACCTGAAAATATTTCAGATGTTTCTGTAGGATGGAGAATCTCAACTCACTCCAACTGATGTAACACAACTAATCCTGCTTGAATCTCATCATGGGCTGCCTTCTAGCTCTGGCGATATGGCTTTATTTACACGTTTATACTGAAATAATTTCCAACGCTATTAACATTTTTTGACTGCTTTGCTATGCTTGTCGTAGAACAGCTCGATTGCGTGAGGGTTGTTGATTCGATTTAGTTGGTGGCAGTGAGATAGTAGAGAACACTTTCACCAGGGCCCAGATTTGATGCAAGGACAGATCTTGCTACCCCAAGGTCACCATGATCAGGACCACCAGAGCCACCGCCTCCAAGAACCCTGCGTACGCTCCAACCAGGCGCTCCGTTGGGCTGACCTTCTGCTATTCCCAGGAGTGATAGTGAGATGTTCACCAGTTGAACTCCCTGGAGATTCTTATTAAAACCTCCCTGTCCGAGGTCTGGACCGTAATTTGCTAGAACGACGACAGCGTTCTTGTTGCCTGCATTTGGCCCAGCAATCCATGCCTGGAGCTGCTCGGATGCTTGAGATCCGGGATTGGAGGTTCCAAATGGATTCTTTGGCTGCATCGGAAATTGAGCTGTGAAGTCAGCAACTGTGAGAAATTCGGGGTCGAAAAGCAACTCCCGCCCAAGTGTGTCAAGTTGTGTTAAATCCGAGCCAGTAATCAGGTTTGCGCCTGCGCCGACCCAATGAATCGCAACCGTGTACCTCTGGACGTTTGAGAGGCCGGTAAGCGATTGAGCGTTACCCGTGTACACATTATCCATGTCAGGTCGGATCATTATTGGGGTACCTTGGCGCGCAGGGTCTTCTTCTTGTTGGTTAATAAAGCTTCGGTACTGCTCAATTGCTCGCTGGACCGTATTGAATCCCAAGAATTGGCTGGCGCCAGCATTGTTGATGTCCTGGTCTAGGCGCAAACCATCTGCGTTACCGCGCCAAAGGAAGAAGTCTGCTGCTGAGTTCCGATCCAGCTTCCACGAGAGATCTAATCTCATCGGGCGACTGGCTTGTTGGATTGCCTTGTGATACGCCACAGCAGCTAGAGAGTTATTGACGGGCAGATCTTCGTTGGCCTGGGGGCTCCCAGGAGTCATGAAATCAAGCTTGATGTAATCTACTCCCCTATTACATTATGTTAGCGGCATCTAAAGTAGAGACTAGTCATGGGGTCATACATTGCAGCCCAGTTGTTAACCACAGAGTTATGCCATTGCTGAACGCCGTTCTTGCTGAAATCAAACGTCTGCCTTAGATTGTAACTCGGCTGGCTCGTGTCAAACAAAGACCCCAGCTTGATGTTAGTTCCTTGAACAGTGACACCTGCGTCGGCTGATAATGCTCCCGGAAGTGCATATATGCCGAGAAGCTTGCCCTGCGAGTGCAGGCGATTGGCCAATGCTGTCAAGTTTGGGAATACAGAAGTGTCTGGCACAAGACGACCAAATTGGTCACCTCCATTTCCTGACCAACCAGAGTCCAGACTGCACAAGGTATATCCCGCAGTGACATTCAAAAGATCGCATTGGGTTTGCACGTTGGCTTGATTGAGAGTGAACGTTGAGCCTCCTCGGGCTTGCATGCCAAAAGAGTTCCATCCGCGGGGAGGCGCATTGAACCCGTTAGCACTGGTTCCATAGAAAGGAATGAAGAGTTGGTTCGTGGCTGTTGTTGCTGTCGCCACTATCAGCGGAACTGTGAGAAGCGAAGGGCTGTGCTTGTTCTTCATTTTGCTGGTTCTACTGCTTGCTGCGGAAACGTATAATGCCCGCATCAATAACGAGGGGTTACGGCCTTTATATATTGAATCACCGTTTCTTAGTAGACTAAAAGTGGCACATGATATCTCGAAACTCCGGTAAGTAGCAGAAGGGGTTATATTCGGTACAAGACAAAGAAAACTAGTGTAAGTCGGCTGAAATAGCATAGATCTGCCTTTGTATGATGGTTGCCTCGCAAACAGCTTCCTTTTGGAGATTAGGGTTAATGGTACCTACTGTTTCAATTACATAGACTTCTGACAGTTCAATGATTGACTCGTGTATGTGGGCTTTTCTGTTACCATCCTTTTCAAGTTGCCAAGCGTAAGCGTTCTGGGATGTGCTGATACGGAATATCGAGTTTGTCTAGATTACTCCGTACTAGCTCCTGTATTCTGCGGTCAGGTCTTTGATGAGTAAGACCAGACATTTTATTAGGCTGGAAACAAAATTTAACGAACAATACGCAATTGTTGTATCGCTTTTGGAAGGCTGGTTGTCCTTCAACCTATTCATTTCACTCACTGCACTTCAACTTGTCACTTGCCTACAAAGATCAAACTTTTTTGCACAGCACCCTTCCATAGATATCGAAGAAAGCTATATCGAATTGCCAATGAACCAAAATTGGAGTACATTTTGACGATCAACAGGCGCTATGCATCTCTTTCTATATCGCTGCGCTATGCGTTCTGCATGGTTCGTCACCTTGACTGGGGTTGGCCGATTTAAAGAGGTTTCAATCCTCTTCATTACGCCGCGTGATGGAGATACCAACAATACATTGTAACTTCAAGTGGGTATTTCAGTAACGAACCGAACCGAAGACCGTGACTTTTAATTGCGTACGATGGCAAGCTGGGGATAAAAACCCGAGACTAAGAAGATTGTAAACACCCACACGTTAAATTATACGCCTATTCTTCCACTATCTACTATTATATCTATATTTTCATAGTAACTGCTACTATATCTAAATTTATCTAATAACTGCTACTATGTATATATTTCTCTAGTAGCTGTTATTCTATTTATATATTTGTTTGCAACTGCGATTATAGTTCTATAGTAACATCAGGGTTTTAGCTGAATACTAGACATCCCCTGCAAATAGCACCACCTACTGAGCTAATTGGGTGCTTATATCGCTGAATATATGCACTGGTCCGTTTCACGGTCTCGCTTTTTCCGACCTCTACTTGGATGGATGGATTAATGCTAGGTGTGAAAGGTCTAAGCTCTCTTCTCATTTTTTTGATGCCACTCTCCCCTCGATTCCTAGCTATTTCGTTTTAACATACAGGTCTCCATCGCCATACTGGCCTATTGTTTCTCTGTTTCCAATAGTTCATCGCTTGCTTGTGGCGACTTGGCCACTCGATCCGCATCAGTTTCGTCAGGATTGTGACTACGAACGACAAGATAAGTGGGAACGACCGCCAATCCTGCATAAAAAGTGTCAAGTTAGATATTTGTTGTGCTTTTCTCAAGTCCACACATCATTAAGCTTGACTTACCAAGAAGAATAGTGTTTACAGCCAGCGGTACCCGTCCACCGTACCAGTTCCTTGTATTGAGACCATACGACACAGCCTGGGCAAAGCTCTCCTGGCCACGCAAAATGCCCGTCAAACGAGTTAGCTCCGACACGTTATCTGTCATGGTAGCTACAAGATAGTATAGCCAGCTCTGGGCCGCCTGCTGTGAAAAGCTCCACAGGAAGAGAACAAAGAAGCCTTTGACATAGCCAGGGGTACTCCAATCTAACAGGGGGGGATTGGACGTGAATTGTTCCGATACTACCCAGCCATAGACCCACGAGAGAATATGTGTAGCAACGACATAATAATACCCATATTCCAATCGCTTTTTAACGGGAAAACGAGTCCAGTCAAGCCACAGACTGAGAATCTGTGAAGAAAAGAGCGTCGCGAAGTTGCTGACAAACCCTATGAGCGCCCTTCCTCTCAAACTAAAATAATAGGCTTGAAAGTTGCCGGAGTACTGGTTGAAGTAGGCAGCCCAGAATATGGGGAGGAGGAGAAGGACATTGCGCTTTTTGGAGGTGTTATACAGAGCCTTAAACTCAGCAATCAACGACTTTTCTCCCATGACGATAACTCGCGACCCATCACTTCTCTGGACCTTCTCCGGTGGCGACAGAGCCAGGGCAAGGGGAGCCGCGAGGCACTGCAGGACGATGAAGATAAGGTAGGTAACATAGCCGACACTTCCTTTTTGTGAGGACTTTACATTCAGACCCAGAACAATTGCGCCGCCAACAATTGGACCAAGTGTTCTAAACCATACCCAGATATTCAAATATCTGGCACGCTTGGTAGGCTCTGGGTATCCAAGAGCGATGGCTCCCTCGCTCGCCCAAAAGAGACCGGCAGATATACCACAAGCAACGGCTCCCACGAGGACAAACCATTCATTTCCAAAACGGTTGTTAGTATAAAGTCCAGCCGAGTAAATAGGGTAGCCGATGGCGCCGAGTAAAAGCGTGTATGAGAGTCCGATTGTATTCGCGATTGGCCCTCCAAACAAACAGAAGAAACCCATTAATCCAAACACTAAACTATTAGCCGCATTAATGAGGTATGGTGATTCAGCTCCGCCGGCGCCTGTTGAGGTGAAGCATTAGAGAAGACTGGAATCACTCATATGTGACCCCAGGGGGGGGGGGGGGGGGGGGGTGTTGGTGTGGGGAACAAGAGTGGTGTAGATGTATACTTAGGTACATGTAGGTACGTACCTAGAGAATTCATGGCATTCCAAAGGCCTGGAGCTAGAAAGCCAACTCCTCCAATAATGAAAGCGTTGAATAGCGTGCTGCGGTACCATTGCGGCTTCTGGGTCGACAGAGTGGTAACGCGCTCCTCGGAGCCATTTTTGGCTATGTCAGCCTCGATATCAGCCATGGCGCTATGTTGTTTTACAGCAGCTTGGAATTTCTGTAGAGAAAAATGCACAACGGTTTGGATTTCGTTTGAGGGGGTTGATCCTCTATTTAAGTGCCGCGTTCTATCTACAATATGGGACCGTTTTAGCAGGACAAAGTACCATGTGCTTCAGATACAGGGAATATGATGGACATAATCAAGGAACGAATCGCCTCTTCTTAGGCTTTCAGCATATAAATTTGCAGAATGCTCATTCTTTCTGAAAATGGCGTGAGAAGACAATGTGGATCCGTCGTCCAATAAAGTACCGGCATCATGATTCGTGTAAACACAATAAATGGAGTCGTTCATCTAAAGAACAAGAACTGCCGCCCATCTTACCGCTTTTCGATGGCATTAGTACCGTTCAGTGAGAATTTCTATGACAAAGATGATGGATATTCACATGGGGCTCACAGCTGGCTGAAAGGCAACCGATAAAAACACAACTAGCCAATACGTCGCCCCATTACTGGAAGTGACTTTTATCGCTGGAGACCAAACGTTGAGTCGACGGAAGAGGCAATACGCCGAAAACGTTTTCTGAATGCTTCCTATTCGGTCTTGTGCAGCGTCGGGCCGCTTCATGGTACATAAACTCTAGGGCTCGATCCCGCCTCGCGCTGACTCTTTCCTTCAGCAACTCTTTGGTTGTGTCGTATGTAAATAACGATTTGCACTATGGCACTGGCGATTCCTATTGAGACCATAATAGTCATGATACGCAAGCCCTTTGAATAGCTGGGACGTGTTATGGTTAGCTTATCCCCTCATAGTATCGGCGCCAAAAAGGTCATTCCGTCTTTAGAATCATTCAACTCACAGCGGCTTATCATCTGCTTGAAAGTATTGTGCTCCAGCCATAAGGCCACTAATAGCAGACATGACCCACATGCTACGATATAACAACATCAACAAGTCTCTCATTGGAAGGGCACGACTTGAATAACTTACGCGATGCTAATGCTCCTCTCTCTGGGGTCGTTGCAGTTAAGTTGAACCCACGAATTGTGAACGGGATGGTAGCCAACGGCGAAGCTATTAACAGCCGTCCACAAACCCCATCGCGACCACTTGCCTACATGAGGCTGAAGTGAGCGAGCAACGATCAAGGTAATTAAATAGCTTGTCTGAGCTGCAATCACAGAAGCACCTCGCTGATTGGTGCGGTCGCTTATAAACGCAAACGTGAAAACGACGGCAAGGGCAAGAAATGCGCCCACTGCAGCCAAAGCATTTGCCCTTGTTCTGTCAAAGCCCAACGACCTGATCAGATGTACCGCGAGTTAGAACACTAATGAGAATTTTAACGCCCTTCAGTGACAAGAACTCACATGATGATTGATGGCGTATATGTAGTCAAAGGACTCCAAGTTGAGAAGACAACGAAAGTCGAGACAAAATGTGGCCACCGGCGGTAGTGAGATACTGTGCTCCACACAACCGAGAGAGGGATCTTTTTGAGACCCTGTCCGCTTCGATCCTCTTCGCCATCTTTTTCAAGACGCTTTAGCAATATCTTTGATTCAGACTCTGAGAATTTGACTAATCCCGAGCTCAGTAGAGGCTTTGGGTGAGAGGGCGACCCTGGAAGGAAAACCAAGAGGACTATAGAAACACAGATTGTAAAAAGACCCTCCACTAAACACTAGCATCAGTTATCAAGCACCGCATAGAATGGATGGAAGAGAAGTCAAGATCAGCAGAGATTCTGTTTGTCTTACGTAGAAAGAGCCATTGCCATCCTCGGAGGCCCCGGTGGCCATCCAGCAGCAAAATTCCTGAAGCTAGTAGAGGGCTGATTGCATTACCCCCAAACATGCCGAAGAAGAATATGGCGACTCTTTTCGCGAGCTCTCGCCTGTTGTACCAGGTCGATAAGGTATAACATGCTCCGGGAATATAGCCGGCTTCAGCAAATCCGAGAAGAAGGCGAGTAGCAAGGAATCCTCCTCGGTTCTTGATAAATACTTGCATTATGGCGATGAAGCCGAATGCAAATACCTGAGCAGATATCCATTTCCGTGGGCCAACGCGCTGGAGAGCCATATTGCATGGAATCTCAAACACGACGATACTCATGAACATAAGCTGATTACCCAAGTTAATCGTGGACTGAGTGACATGAATATCTGTGGCAAACCCTCCTGTCAGGGCGCTTGCAATGTTCATGCGATCAAGTTGGAAAACTAGCAAGCCGAGAAAAAGAAGTGGTAAAACCGTCATGTCTACTCTTGTACAACGTTAGAAGGTTCTTCAAACTACCCAAGGGAGGATATATTCGATGTACTTTGTACGAACTCTCAGCTCATCAGCCAAGTTCCATTCTGGCTGATCTTCTTCTCTCAGCGACACATCGGAATCTTCTTGTAGCGTATTGTTTGCAAAGTTGCCTTGCTGCTTCCCTTCTCGTTTTTCACTCATTTTGGCTGCCGCAGTATATTAACAACGGGATGAAGTTAATACAACATACAGTAGCTAAGCAGAGTGCTACCGTGGGGACAAACGTATTGCAAAAGTAGGTATATGCATGATGATCTCGGATCTATTTAAGAACATACATAAGTCAAAAAGAAGAACATGGCCCAGGGCCATGGCACTGGATATCCAATCGCCACCAGTAGCGGCGTAGCGTCTCTTTGCGTAATCTCCAATTATGGCGTGCTAGAAAAGATGCCCGATTCTCTCTAGATGGCCAAGGTGTGATGATGGAGATGTCACTGGTTACCTTTAGGATATTGGTGGGTTGGCAAAACATTCTTGGCATGGCACTGAAGGCTATCTGGGAGTTCTTTACTACAATTGTCAAAATGTAGTAAATGGTGAAGCCATCAAAATCTGGATATCTGAGTTCTCTCTTGCCAGACTCGTCTGTGCTACATGAAGGTTTCCCATCACTCCATGACAAAGAGGAGCAAATTCTTTGATAGTTCATTACTGGGCTGGCCGATGCATAAACCGTTCCTTGATTTGCCTAGATTCATCTAATCCTTCTGATTAGTAGAATTCTACTGGCTAGGCGTTCGTACGAGGCCTGTCTCGTGGGGGCATCTCTAGATCGTCGTATCTTAATGCTGAGCGCTACCAAGTAGTTAGCTCCAGCTAAGAGGCTATCAGATTGCGTGATGGAGCCCACCATTTGCGCAATGCCAGCAGATCGATCCGCGCAACAAGCAAAACAAGAAGATTTAAGGTCTAGAATCAGCTGCTTCAGTATTTTAGACTTATTGCGGCGCGTGCGGCATATGCGGCAGGTTGGAGATAGCCGAAAATGTTATTAACTTTATTACATGCCATAATCCACCATGGAGTCTAAATCATCAATTACCCCAGCTTCTTCGCTGTGTGGCAGTTGAAGACGTGTCATTTTTCGTTCTTTTCTAAACCGAGATCTAGAAGTGAAACCCTACTCTCTTCTACTCAGCAACTTACCTCCAGCCGAAATGACGGGCAGTGTTCCAGTGCGACGGGTAGCCGTCATTGGCGCTGGGCCAGCAGGTGCTATTGCTATTGATGCCCTTGCCCAGGAAAAGGCATTCGATATCATTCGTGTGTTTGAACGCCGAGAGCGTGCTGGAGGATGCTGGTACGTTGATAATATTTCACTCCCTCTCAGCAAGTACAGCTGTTTCCCTAAAGAAAGTACAGGCCCTCATGTGGCGAAGTTTCCCCAGGGTGGAATGATTATTATATGTTATTGTTAACATAACGTTAGGATAGATGATGCATCGCGGCCTCCTACGCTTTCCAACTTCACTGCGTTGGCAAGCCGTACGGCAGATAGTCCATTGGCTATTCCAAAGGCCCTCCCGGCCCAAACACAGATATCAAGCCAGCCTCGTTTTTCGGAGTCATCAGTCTATCCATATCTTGAAACTAATATTGACCATCTGCCCATGGAATTTAGTCAAGAGCCAATTCCAGAAGAGCGCAGTGAGCTCTCAATATCCAACCACGGGCCAGACACTCCGTTTAGAAAGTGGGATGTTATCCAAAGATATGTTCAAAGTCTTGTTGATAGAAGAGGCTATCGTGATTTCGTTTCCTACAACACCACCGTGGAGAAGGTAGAAAAGATTGGTACCGAGTGGAAAGTTGTATTGCGCAAAAGTGGACAGCGCAGCGATTACTGGTGGGTAGAATGGTTTGATGCCGTCCTTGTCGCGAGCGGGCATTTCTGGGTACCCTATATTCCTCCGATCGAAGGATTGGAGGCATTCGAGAAGGCTAGGCCGGGGAGTGTAATCCACAGTAAACACTTTCGCGGCCGAGAGCCATTTACAGGCAAGGTAAGTCATAGGCTATCATGGAGTAGAACTTTTGTCAGAAGAGAGTCTAAAGTTTTCTCTCTCCAGCGCGTCGTCGTCGTCGGAGCATCCGTCTCTGGAGCTGATATCGCCTTCGATCTTGTCAATACGGCACAAACCCCAGTACACGCCATCACAATTGGACACACCATCAATGGATATTTTGGAGGAGAGGCTTTTAACCATCCCAAAATAAGGAACCATCCATCCATTGCCCGAGTGGAAGGCAGAACTATCCATTTGGTAGATGGTAACTCGATTGCCAATGTCGATTACATCGTATTCAGCACAGGCTACAGCTGGTCTATGCCTTTCCTCCCCAATGTTCCGATCCGCAATAATCGGGTGCCAGATCTATACCAGCATGTTGTTTGGCAAAATGACCCAACCTTGCTTTTCGTCGGAGCCGTCGCAGCGGGTTTGACATTTAAAGTATTTGAATGGCAAGCGGTTCTGGCAGCACGACTTCTCGCAGGACGAGCTGCGCTGCCACCAGTTGAGGAGATGCGAAGATGGGAAACTGAGAGGATCAAAGTGCGCGGAGATGGTGTCAAATTCACACTGATATTTCCTGATTTCGAAGATTATTTCGAAACACTGAGAGAGTTGGCTGGAGAAGGAGAGGCGGGGAAAGGACGCAAACTTCCAAAGTTTCAGAGAGAATGGGTACGAGCCTTTCTCGATGGGCATGAACGACGAAAGGCCATGTGGAAACGACTAAATGAAAAGGCACAAAATGAATTGAGTGCTACCAAAGAAGTCAACTTCGAGAAAGCGCGGCTCTAAAGCTATTGATTACCCGGATCATTTACTTGGATTAGAGAAGTCAGCCCAACTATCGCTTGGTCTGAAGATCTACATAATCGTAGTTGCTCATGAGGAAGATGGATAGAAAAGTAGACAAAGAAATCGTATTGCGAAGTGGAATATCGACAATTGATACTTCGCATTTTCCCGGTCACACTGCTTGATTATACCTTGCCCAAGCGAATCCGAATATACCGCTTCTTCACAGCAGGTTCCTCGCCTCGATGTTTGAGACCGCTTTAGAGATGACTGTAGAATAAGACAATAATGTTTCGTGAAAGCTGTTGTGATGTGGCGCTTCATTTGGCCTCCTGTTTGTTGATCTCTATCCTCTGCCAGTAGATACTACATGGTGTTTACGTATCAGTAGTGGACATTTTGCGATTGCATTGAACATTATTCCGAAAATATTGTTCCCATAACATTATTCAGTACTTGATGACTTAATAGTCTGCTACGGTACTTTTGATGGTTTCTTCGAGATTGGTCCAACCATGTCCAGCAAACCGCTTAAGAAGGTCTTCTGCCCGCCCATTGGTCACGATGCTTAGATCGCGCGGCAGATTCGGAATATCGTCTATAAACTTCTTGCTTGGATAGAGCTTCCTCAAGGCGGCCAAAATGTCATTCCAGTTATATGGGTACGCGAACGTAAAGAGCCTCTCGTTGTTCACGTCTTTGTACAACAGCGCGGCAACATGAACAATGGCGTCGTCGACAATGTTGATGTAGTACTGCGGTGGCTGGCTTCGCACTCCTTCTTCACCTTCAAATCCATTCCAGAGGGCACGAATCCAACCCAGAGTGCTATGATATTTTTGGTGGTGTTTATCAACAACAGGACCAAAGTTCGCGTTCGGTAAGACGGTATTGAGAACAAAGTTTGGGTTGTTTTCGCGGACCCATTTCCATGCCTCTTTTTCTCCTTGAGTCTTACTAGCATAGTAGACGTCCAAGAGACGCTCGAATCCTTCATATGGTGGCGGCGCCCACGCTGCCTCTACGGCCTCTTCGTTCCAAGTATTAGAGTCGATTGTAAAGACTTTGCCTGGCTTTGGAGCCGTACAGGCGCCGGATGAGGAAGTCAGAATGAAGCGCTTCATTTTAGGTTCTTTAGCAGCAGACTGGAGTGCGCCTAAAGTCCCTTGAATTACAACGGGTATCGCAGCATTGGGATCTGCATTCTCCATCACTGGCGTGGCTGTGTGAATGAATCCGGAAGCGCCCTTGACAGCCTCGTCAAAACCACCGCTGGCTGACATATCCGGTACTTCAACCAGCTCAATTTTCCCGGGGCCGTAGATGTTGGAGAAGTGATCAATTAACCAGCTGTTCTTTTTCACATCGCGAACGGTACCACGAACTATGTAGCCCGCTTTGATAAGTTGGTCCACGATGTGGCTCGCTATGTTTCCGTTTGCCCCCGACACTACAACAGTAGAGCCAACGGGGATGGAAAATTCGACGTCCAGATGGGACATGATGAGATCTTCGACGAAAAGCCGGGTTTGGATTGGTTTATTGAATGCAAGGAAGTTGAATCAGGATGTGTATATCGATGCTTCATGGTAATGTCGAGGGAAAGGGCTACCATTATATACCCTTCAAGTGCCCAATATCTAGACAAAGCTACTCTCCCTTCACAGAGTTCCACCAAGTATTTGGTAAGTAAATAATCCAATAGGAAACTTCGGAACGATTGCAGCAGTATGAGCATGAGTGACGCAAGAACCTTCCTCAAACGCTCTCCTGACAGTTAACGTTGCGATTAAGCCTCTTCAAAAGATGAACATACGTCAATGATTGATTCTAGAAGAGTCTTGAATTATTAATACTTTTTTCTTTGCCCGGTTTATGTTGACAACCTTCCCTGAAAGACCACCTCAGGCGAATTGATCCTTGGCATTAACCAGATGTTCCGTAACAATGACAAAAGAGATATAGCCCTAGTCGCCCAACTGTCATTTTATGCGGGGTAGAAAACGCGGGCATAGTTGCCAATTGATATAGAGTTAATCTTGGAAACGGAAGCCTCATAGCCACTTATGCAGCTAATCAGCGTATTCTAGTCAGTTCTTATCTTAGTAGTATCAGCTGGCAGGCGGTTCGCAATTCCTTCGGGCATAATGATGGGTCTTGACAATTTCGTTGCGCGGAAAGAAGATAATCCTGGCCACGCCCGCCAAACTTCCGATGACGTTGATTTAGACATATTATCTGACAAATGCATTCTACGTGGTTTAATCACTTCTTGGAGCCTTCTTTACTGGATCTTTCATCGGGCTCTGCCGATAATACTTCACATAATAGACACGGTTGCCATACCTAAGTTATCTGATATCCGAAGGTTGGCTTCCAGCCAATTCTAAACTCGGTACTTCGGCTTCTATTGGTTTATAATCAAGGCTGAATGAAAGCTGTCGCACGTTACACGTAGATTTACGTGAATCATACAGGCACATAGACCAGCAATGGCGCGCTGCGTTTTTCGCCCTTGCTACGTGGCGAACAGAACTATAATACACAATCATCCGGCTTGCAATCATGTTAGATGTTATATGATAATAGAGACTTACTCCTCAGAGAGGAATTGAATGATACTCCTAACTATTCCGTGGGCAAACATACCTCTTGGTCTACCTATACTACGGCGTTGGAATCTTTTAAAATGGAGAGATAGAAGTTGGCGTATCAGCTGCTGACTCACGCCGTGTTGATTGGGTTGATTTTACTCCGTAAAGAGCATTGACTATACAGTTTGTATCTGGATGTTCTCTCACAGTACACGACCAAGAGGGATATCCGCTGAGGCTGCCTCGTAGGTACATATAGACCAAACCCATCACACTGTACGACATTATGGATACATACCGTGCTGGAAGACTACGACTAATAACGCAGAAAGCGGGGGTGGTCATGCATTAGCGGCCGGCATATTTGGACTGGATCTCGTCGTAGGCTGCCCTTTTTGTTGGAGAGAGGATTCTGGCCTCCACTTTCTAGATTACTCCAAGACAGTCTAACCGGAAAGATATGCCAAGGACGGAGTATTGTTGTCTAGATCCGTAGACGATGAGTCTGTGATGAACTTACATGCAGCTCGTAAGCCGTCTGGATTTACGACGAAGTTTGGAGCAGTATGAATTAGTATATAGTATTGAAAGGTACAGACCATTCTTAGTAGATGGTCTCCGCATTTTTCTCTATATAATAGACATGAGAATCCCGCCTTGGTTCCACTGAAAGACAAGAAATCCTTGTGCCCCTCAAGAACATTTCAAAATGGCCTCTTTTGACCTCACATCGTACAAAGCCCTTTCATTCGACATATATGCAACTCTAATTGACTGGGAATCTGGAATCTTTACGCAGTTTCTCCCATTGCTGGGGAAACTCCCCAAGCATCATCCACTATGGAACAAAAGCATGGTTGATCTCCGAGCCCATCTGCTCACGCAATATTCGATTCATGAGCATAAGCTAGAAGTTCAGTATCCAGACGAAAAATATTCAGCCTTGCTGAGCAAGGTTTATGAAAATGTCGCTGCAGAGATTGGAGTATCTGTTACCCGCGATGAAGCGGAAGCATTTGGTGGAGCCATCGGGCAATGGCCAGCTTTCGCAGACACCGTGGCAGCCATGCAGAAGCTGGGCAAATATTACAAATTAATTGCTCTAAGCAATGTTGATAAAGTGTCATTTGGAAACACTTTGAAGAATGGCTTGAATGGGGTCCAGTTTGATGCCATCTATGTCGCTGAGGATATTGGTACCTATAAGCCAAACCCAAACAACTTCAATTATCTCGTCGAACATGCGCGCCAAGATTTCGGCATTGAGAAAAGCGACATCTGCCATACGGCCCAGAGCCTCACATTTGATCACATCCCAGTCGCATCTATGGGCTTTCGCCCCGCGGTTTGGATCTCACGTGGAGGTGGTAGCATGGGCATGGGGGACCTGGAAGCCGTAAAGGACAAAGTTAACATTGGGGCAACGTATGAAACCTTGGGCGATATGGCAGAAGCTGTAGAGGCAGCTTTTAGTAAAATAAAGAATTAAATTAGGTTGCGTATTTGAATATGAAATGCTATACAACCGCTTCACCATGAATCTCTATTGACAAAAGAAGAAGAACTCCGATTTACAAAAGTAAAAGATCAAAACCTAATCTTCGTTGAACAGTTTTCCAGTCTTTAATCACTTGATCCGGATCCAAACCATTGGCAGCTGCTTCTTCAGATCGTTCGTGCCATATTTGATGAAGAAGTTTTCTAGCTATCAATCGATTTTGCATTCCAAGTTGGCTCGATATCGCTAGCCACTGTTCGACCATCAATTGATCTTCCTCTTCGGTGGCTTCGGTGGCAGCAATGAAGATTGGCCACATGGATATCGAGCCTCCTCGCATGTGGATGAACGTCATAGCATCTTCAAGGACGGATTTGACATATTTCCGAACACCTCGCGGGGGAACTTTGAGAATAGCTTGGTGTAGATATATGAGTGCGGCGGTGCGAAAAAGGCGAAGATGTAGGCAGTCTAGAAATTTGTGCTGCTGCGTTTCTGGTAGTGACTCCAAAACACTCGCGCGCTCTGGTATATCGAGATCCATATCGAAGTTGCTATAATTGAGCGGGGATAACTCAACAAGGCACGACTGAATTAGAATACCGAGGTTATCAGGAATATCGCCGAGTGCGATTTTCTCAGCAAAAAGTCTTATTGATGAAATGGTTCTTAAAACATCGCAGCTTGCACCTATGGTGTACCCGAAATTGTGGCGCGACGCGACGCTGTCTAACAGAACATCTGTGATTGGCGATCGACCGTAGGGCTTGACATTGACTGTCTGTGATATTTCGAATGACAGCGCAAGGCTTTGGGATATTACCCAAGAGTGCGTGGATCGGGTCCATGGCTTTTGTTGAACAAAGTGGGTGACGAAGCCTCCGACACCGTCAAAGTGACTCCTCCAAGCCACTGAGCCACGTGCATTGCCCTGATTATCAAAATCAGTTGACGTTTTTTTATATCTTTGTAGGAGACTCACTTCGGATATCATAAGTGTGTATAAAGTAGCAGCGCAGGCGTCGTACTCCGTTTCCTTCGTGGCATTCAAGCTCTTACTCAGCTCTCTCAATGAGGCTCCATAATGCTTCAAGGCGACAGATTCTCTTTGACGGCGGGATTCCGGGTTGCCTTTTTGTAGATTGGATATATTAAAAGCTGACTGAGCTAATATTGCATGATACAAAGCGCGTGAAGCCGGAGAAGCATCCTGAAGCGCTGTGGAGGGATACACTGATTTCCAAGGATTCTCGGTGCTGTCCACAGGAATCATCAGGGGTGCTATCCACGTCACGTAGTGATAAAACATCATGGCTTCATCTTTCGGCATCGATAAAAACCCGGTGATGGTAGGTGTCAGTGATGGCGATAGAGAGTTGTCACTTTCAGTAAAAGGTGATGAGAACCTGTTCGATGGAGAAAATGGCGATAGGGACTCGACAGATCGAAAGCTCAACGACGATATGTCTGTAGTAGGGCTGTCCGATCCTGGGCGTTTATTTGATTGGGAAATTCTGAATACTGTGAATGGACTTGAGGACGACTTGCGCTGGGAAAATGCCGGATCAATGCCGTCCTTTTCGTCGATCAAGCGCTGCAGTTGCCCTTCGTTTAGGATTGGCCTACCACGCCATGTTTGTTCGAAATCCATGCTCCGGCGACAATATGGCGGATACGTGCCTGTTTTGGGATCTACCCAAACCAGTTCGATTCCGTAGCCTTCGCACTGAATCTTGTGCTTTTTGCACGGGTTACATGGCGGGCCAATGCCATTACACTTGACACGCCGCCGGCGACATGTCCAACAGGCGGAGAATGATCTGGTGACTTGCTTCCGGGTTCGTGTCATCGTAGATGTGGCAGTAGCATACTCTCGAATTCGATGGAGTTCTCTATACAAGCTTGAGAGACTTGGTGACGCGATGCCGAGTAGGTATTGAGGGCTCCTGAAGATGCCGGCTGATGTATGAGAGCGTGACAAGGAAGAAAGGGTAGAAATCGTCTTGAGACTGGCGGATTGCAACCCCCGCAGAGTATGCCCGCTAGATAGATAGGCACTGATGGTTAAGTATGTACGCCGTGCACAGTGCATTCGGCCAGTTCCATCTGCAGGGTGTCTGTACCCACCCAGCAAATTTGCATCGCGTGGCCCGTCTTCTATGCTCGTACAGTGGCTTTTATAGTGGGTGGATATAAGCCAGATGAGTCCAGCGGCGTCTGGTAGATTAATAAACTAAGAATTGGGACGGTGTGCTCGCTAGGCAGAGGTTCGGAATGGCCTTGGGGGTTCAATAGGAGACAAATCATGCGTAAGAAAAAAGAGGGAAGAAGTAAAGGATTCTCAATCAATTGAAAGACATGTGATATCGAACAATGAATCTTTAAACTAGCTACACGGGCAGAGAAACTGTGGTTGCGGGGCACTTATGTACAGTGAGTGGGATGAAGCTTACGCGAGTGTGGTAAAGTTTAGCATTGCTTGTCACGCTAGATATCCAGAAACAACCCTTCCTGCAGGCTGCTATCCGCTTGGATTTTGGCTGTTAATGCACTGATGAAAAGCTGGAGAAAAAGCAGGCGTTCAGCCGGCAATATGAACAGCTGGTTGCACGGAGTTGTGAGACATGAATTCGCTAGATGCGTAGCGTAACATTCGAATCGGCAGGCGGCTTTAGGCTCTGTATGGAGTGACTGGAGACAAAGTAAAGGTTAGTGAGCGATCTTAGTAACTTCTTGATCGACATGGTGGACCAGCCTGCAAATTTCCAATCCAACTTATCGGCACCTTTTCAGAGTAAGCTATGATCAAGATTGACTAGGCACCTCTAAATACGCTCAATGGCTTTTGTCTCGGATACCTTGGTATCTAAACTTACTGTTTCACTTCCGAAACTCTTTTTTGTCTCCACCAACACGATTACAGGCCAGTCATCATCCAGAAGTTATTGTGATCGATATTTTTACGCTTGAATTTGTCAACACTCGTATTACGTCTCATCCTTAGGGTATTACTGTGCTGATGGTTTCAATGCATACAGAGTGCCCTTAATGTTGGCATGGTCAGGATGATACCATTGTGACCAAATCCGAAACCATACAATCGTCGACTACGATCATGAAATTTTGAGGTCTGAAGCATAGGCTTTTCCCTTCGATAGAGTTCGCAAGTACTGAACACGGGTTTCAAAGCCTGCGAACATCGTCGGCTCTATATGAGAAAGATTTCAAATATGACAAAACAAGAACTACCCAGAGGTAACTGTTGGCCCGAAAAACCTACCCTGTGGTTTATTTACTATGACACCAGTGACAACCGTTGAAATGGCTCAAGGGATCATGGGGAGGATTACTGACACTGATACGAAATTTACGAGCTGACTTTCTTGACCTTTAGGATCAAGGTGACGTATTAAGAGCAGTAAGAGCTGACGATTCTGACAGTCATTATCTTTATCCTGTGCGGCTACAATCCTAACAGGAATTTATGCTCATCTATATTTGTTTGACAGATCCTATACATTATGTAATGATCAATGGATGGATGTTCGGAAGCTATAAAACCCTTGTTCTTGGAAGGCTGACTTCCGCCGCTGCCGATCTCTTTGTATTAGATCTAGCGCTTATCCCGAGCAGGGCGTAGACAATGCAACTAAGATTTAAGTATTCTATGATTGTTATGACTTTATATAGAAGGACGGCTCATATTGTCGGGCGATCGGCCGTTACTTAGTTGACAGCTCAGAATACCTACCTGCATCTTTGGATCCAAATTGGTATGCTTAGTGTAGATCATCATTGGCATTACACAACGTCAAAATGGTTGTTGTAATCATGTTACTTCGTTATGGTTGAGCTAAGGAAATGTTATCATAGTCTCGCCCTTCTTAGCTGCGGTAAAAGAGGCTATTAAAACTATCAACGTGTTCAAAACATCTCTGGCACCATAATATCTTTGCGTAGAGATCTCGACTTGAAAATATGACTTTATTATGAGAATTAGGCTGTGGGCTATTTATTGGCAGTTACATAACTGAGAAGCCCGTATGTACATACAGCCTTTCCAGCCAGAGACGTTCTATTGGTTACGCATGATACAAGTTGAATAATCAGCACACCTTGGAGCAAAGACTTCGCCATTTAATACGTTGCAGTGATTATGCCAAGGAATCCTAATACGTAATGCATGAAAATGACTCGGTCATAATTGTCTTTTGTTACCTGTTGTGACAAGAGAGCTCTCGTAGTCTGACTCTCAATGCTCTATTATTGGCATGTGAGCCCATCCATTGGGCACAATGACCAACATAACGCGGGCATTGATCAAACCAGAATGGAAATGATGTACAAGTCTATGGCAAGGTAAAAAGTATAAAGAGGCCCTGAGATCCGGTTGAAATCATTGTCAATCTTGGAATAACAACAGTCCTTTCAATAAGCTCAATCACCACACTTAAACTTAAACTAAACAAACTCCCCAACATCAACATGAAGTTCTTCGCCCTGGGTCTTCTCTTTGCCAGCTCTGCTATGGCCGGTCAAATTCTCTTTTGCAACCAGCAAGATTGTGGTGGCAGCTGCAGCTTCCAAAGCCCTGCTGGCGACGGAGCTTGCCACCAGCTTGGCGGCATTTCCAGTGCCAAGGCAACCCAAGTCGATGGTGGATGTAGCTGTAAGTCCATATGCTGAGATTGCCCATCGATTGTGTCTCTTGTGTCTAATGTGTTTAGTCTCTGTCTACACGGACCCCAACTGCAGCGACTTCGCCACCACTGTTGGTCTTGACAGCTGTGTTGCTGCGCCAATCTTGGGCTCCTTCTCCTACGACTGCTAAGCTAGAGCCAGTATCAACGGCTCTACTAAGATTATGCACTGCTTCAAATATGAGAGTTTGAGGGAATAAAGAGGCAAAGGGGCGGGGCTATATAGAGTTTACAGGACATAAATAGCTGCCAATACATCACTGTGCTTCAATCATAAATAACTTACGTGCTGTCAACCGGAAAACGTCACCGATCACCTTCAATGAAACAAGCCTCAGTTAAAGTGTTTCATTCTATCTTCTTAGGTTAGTTTACACGCCTTCATGTCCATGCTGAGAGGGCGGTGCTCCACGTGGGAAGTCGAGGATCCCCAACTGTGTGAAGGAACTTAGTTATATCATTACTCTCCATTTTTCAACGCTCAACAATACATTTTACTTTAATTCTTGATGTAGCGGTAAAGAAGTTAGAGATTAGTGGCTGGCAATTCTCCTAGTGTGCTATATGGTAAGGATGAAACCCAAACCGTGGCTCCATTAAGAGGGGTGGCCGTCAAGGTGGTCAGCGCCATCTCACGAGTGGTTCTACTACTGTGCTGAGTGATCCTCAGAGACCAAATCACGCCTTGGACGTAGCTTAAACCGCGTGTTTGCTCCCGAGTGTTGCGGTTCATACGACCTGAACATCGTGAATTGCGAAATGTAGCGGCTGCCCAGTAGCACAATTGAATGACTAGGTTTAGATGCTTGTTCTGGATGCTCTCAGTTAATTCTTGATGGCATGGGAGTGTTTTTTCACCTTTGAGTTGCTACCGTCGGGCTTCCTACTAGAATTTCATTATTTTTATTCTGATGCCTAGGCATTAGTATATCCCTTCATACCAGAGAGTGCGACCAATACTCGTCCGTTTTGTCATGACAATCACAACTCTGTATGAAGGGGTATCATGTGAGCCATTTTTCTGGGCAGACACCCAAATAAAGCCATCCGTAGGGATGAATATTTTAGAATTTCCCATCTACTCTTCTAGAATATCATTACGATTATCTTAAACATATTTCGTCATATGCAATTTGTTAAACTTCGTTCACTTCGAATTGTAGCTTGCCTTTGTCAGCCTCCTCCACTAATTCGTGCAGCCTATCGGCTTTTGGCAGAGTATTAGACATCCAAGGCTTAACTCCAGCAGCAAAAAGTTCGTCAATGTCTAGAAATGCATATTGTTAGCGTTCTGCCATAATATTTTACCGAAAATCATCATTCTTCAAGGAAATTTTCGTGGGATATCTCTAACCTTCAAGACTTCTCCTTTTGGTCTCCGGGAAGAAAAAGAACGCGTGTAGACATGCGACCACATTGAAAGTGCCGAAAATGATGAATGTCTTCCACTGGATATTCTGAAATGCCGGGGGAGTGTAGTAATTGTTGGCGAAACCCAAGATCCAGTTGGCTGACGTCGCGATAGAAACAGCCTTGCCTCTCAAGCGTATGGGATAAATCTCGGACGGATAGCACCACGAAATAGGGGCCCAGGTGAAGCTATATGTTGCAACAAGAAGATAAGTAAATGCGATGACGGCGGCCTTGGCTGATTTCGCGTCATCATTCATCGTCCAAGTCACCGCGCTTGACCCATCGAAGCCGCCGGGGACATAGTGACCATACTGTGCCATAACGCCAGCAGTAGAGTACAACCATATCATCATGAAAAATGCCCCTCCAATCAGTGCAGGACGCCGGCCAATTCGGTCGAGAAATAAAATGGCTGGTAGAGTGAAGACGACGTTGATGATATACTGAACACTGGATGCAATGAGTTTAACATTTCCAGTAAGGCCAGCCATCTGGAAGATGTAGACAATGTAGTATAGCAAGGCATTATTGCCACTCAGTTGCGTCCAGATATGGACAAATATTCCATTCGAAATGCGATGGATGTTGTCACGATGGATCAACTCAGCCCACTTCACCTCGCCCTGTGATTCTGAAACTGCCATTGATTCTCGAATTTCAGCATATTGCGCCTGTACAATTGGGGCTTGATGATTGCCTTGTCCATGTACGCTAGCAAGTACATCAAGCGCCTCCTCCCATCTGTCTTGAGAAGCGAGCCAGCGGGGTGATTCGGGTATGAAGAATAAAGCAGTAAACAGGACGAGAGCAGGAAACATTTGTACAGCCCACGGAACGCGGAATACCGCCTCAGTCTTTGTGTACGAGGTGCCGAAAGTGATGTAATACATGATGAGAGCCTATAATAATGAGCTTCTGTTTCGACTATTAGATACTCAAGAATTTCGGCCGGTTCCCACTTACTCCCCAAGTGATACTCCATTGTTGGAAACTCAAGATGCGACCTCTAGTCTCAGGGCGGGACAATTCGGCTAGGAATAACGGCCCTGTGGATGTGAACATGCCTACACCAAAGTCAGCCTCATTAGCATTGTATGGCAAAAACCAATAAACTTACCCACTGCTCCACCACATAGAAGCCTGCCGACGATTAACATGGCAATATCAACGCTAGCCGTACATATTACGGCACCGATGACAAATATAATGCATCCTGCCATCAAAGTATATCTGCGACCGAATCTATCGACTACAAACATATTGACAAGGCATCCTAAGAATGATCCGCCGGAAATGCTAGCAGTAATACCGCCCTGTTGATCAGCCGTTGGGCTGTCAAACTCTTCTTTGAATGGCTTGGTACTCAGGATCGCTGAAAGAGAGGATATGTCAAAACCTTGCAGCAGCCCCCCAATGACAAGGAAGGCCGTGATGACATAGATGTTGCTGATCTTGTAAGTCATCTTGAGGAGATTTACCAGTTGCAACTGGAGAGGTTGCACGCAGAGGTATGAAGGCCGTTAGGGTAATATTGCATACATTTAATGACAATGGGGGGGAAATGACAATATAAGAGAAATCGCAACCGCCGATATCGCCGCAATAACGAGCATGTGATATCTTTTCACGTTCAAAAGAAAAGCCAGGAAAGGGAAACTACAGCTAAAAGTTTGCAAAGGAGTCGTCAGTCAGTTACTTCTCGCTACAAACAGCCTGAATATACCGCTCTGGATACCGAAAGCTTGAATGACGTTCACCGTATCCTGCATGCCTAGCTTAACACACAAGCTTATACATATCCCATAATGAGCATGGGGTATATTAAAGCGGCGAGGTGTGGGGTTTCTCACTGTTAACGATATCTTCGGCACCAGGATTCCGTGAACACCGGGGTTATTCCCGCTCCGAGCTTGCTGGGATTGTCGCGACATATATACCATTTATCACGACATCTGTCGCCGTCTCACTATCTGGAGATTTTCAAGGCTCATTAACCCAAAGCGGGATTCGACAGCGACATCCGACATTTTCTTTCGGCCGAGGAGCGAATGACACTTGCGAGATCGAGCCTACAAGTCTTGGCAGCGCCAACCTGGCAGTCGTTCTGCTGCTAGCTAGATGTTTTAGCCCAAAAAAAGCTTGTTGACTCCATCATAACTACGCTAATTATCTGAGAAGACGGAACATCGCAAAACAAAAATTCCTTGGCAGCGGCTTTTCGGCACCAGGCAATTGCCCTGACTGTCAGAATAACTACGGACGTGATGCGGTGTATAGATGATTAGAACTGCGTTAACGCTGATACACTGCCTTCAGACTGGGATAGTTAGCGCAATTGAAATGATGCAATTCACGCCATGGACTCCGTATAGCCTTGATATCAAGGGGGGGTTTTAGGTTTTGGAAGTAGATACCAGATATCGGACATGACACTAGAAATAGGTTTTCATGATACACCAAGTCACCGGCTAGGGCGCTTATCGAAAATGCGGTAATTTAAATATATTGATAGGCAAAGCTCATTATAGCTTAATTACTTTCTCAGCAAAGGGGATCAGCTTAACAGGTGCTGCAAGGCCATATGGTTGGCCGCCGTAGCTACTTGCGTACTGCGATTGCTCCCATGATTCTGTGACATTGACTTGAAGTAACCTGTTTCTGAGGGTAGATGAAACCTCGATTTTCACATCGTTAAGGCCCAATTTCAAGAATGGCGTGATATCGACAACTGCATCTGTGATATCAATAGGGCCAGTCCAGTGACTATTGACCCAAAGCCGGATAGTATTGAATACTGGCCCCAAGTCTAACAAAGCACCGTTGATTTTGCCATCAGGATTCCAGGTAAACCGAGTTTTATAAGTACCAATGCCAGATGTACTGCCGAGTCCTGAGATGTTGTACCAGGGAATAAGCTCATCCAACTGAAGATTATGATATTGGTATACAGACGTATAGTTGTTAAAGTTGTCTGGGTTAGGAAGCCAATCCTGGATAGTGACATTCCATGGACCAAGTGCTGCTGGATTAGATTGCTGATCGAGGCCGCTCAAAGTAAAAGCTCGGCCATCACTCAGCGATATCTTTTTGCTCCCCTTTGAGGTAGACCGAGCGATAATAGAGTGGCTACTAGCCGAATAGTTAAGATATTCAACATCTGTTTTAGTAACATGTATATCCGGAACTTGAACGTGAGAGAAGAATCCATGGGGAGCAAACGCCAAGATTGTAGATTGATTTGATCGAAGCTCGACCCAGATATTGAATCTATCCCCAGATGTCGTGTAATTGACAATGGGCGTGATGACACCTGTCCAAGCGTCTAGTGTATACGGAATACCGCTGCCTCTGATGGAAGCCTCGGTGGCATGATCTTCGTATATATCTGAGTTATACACCCAATAGTAATCAACACGATTATCCTCGTCGACTCTATGGACGTATAAGATGGGAGTCGGAGAGAGATTCTTTGCTGCAGGTTGTACACCGAGTGCTGCCAAAGCGCCCACAACTTCGCTCTCTAGCTGAAGGACTTTGACCGAGGGATATTTGGTCAGCTTTTGTATCTCCTGTTTAACATGCTGGTCGCATGAATCACAATAGTAGGGGGTTGTCTCGGGAACCCCGCCCACGAAAAGGATGGGAAACCCATGGCTGGCGTACTCCAAAAATCGATCGACAGCTTCAGACGTGATGTTGGTTGAATTGTCTACGATAAAGGCAGAGAAACCGGGGCCATTCTCCGCCAACAATCCGTTTGAAATCACTGCGTTATCCTTTTTGTCATTGTTAGATTTTTGTAGGTAAAAATGGACTCGGGGAAAACGTACCAGTTTCAGTAGTGAAGGGCTCACAGAAACGTAGGAGTACCCAGCATCCTGGAGCGATTGATCCCAGAATATGTTCTCTCCCATATTGTAATGTTTTATATCAACCGAGAGATACTTGTGGCGATATATGCCAATATCTATCCTCGGCACACCAGTTTGGAGAATAAGTTGAGTCCTAGCAATCCAATCTCCCATCTCCTTGACATATGACCAACTGGGCTGTCGTGGTCCCCACATCTCAGAGTATAACCATTCAAATGTTGTCAGTCCAGGCCACTCGACCTGTGGTCGAAGCCCAGAGTACGGGAAGCCATGAGAAACGATTCGGTTAACTCCACCAGCATAGTTGATCTTGCAATCATTAAGGATAATTGGCCATGTGACAGCGTATGAGAAGTAACGGTGCGCCCCAAGTTCGCTGGAAAAGATCTGTTTTTTGCCCATCATGGCTCCGCCGCCCATTGCACGAAAGGCATCGATAACTCCGTCAAAGTAATTGGACTCTGTTTCGGGAGCGTCAATGTGCGCAGCTGCCGAGTTCATATCCCAAGGCGGCGCCGCGTTCGGTGCAGTGGCATATGGCTGTAGGCTTCCTTGAAGACCCCATTTGCTTGTCCATTTCGAGAGACCATCAAGGTGATACTGCTCGTACATCTCTTGGAGACACTGATAGTAGTCATTCCGTAGCTTCCAGCTGATATCTGTTCCATTTTCGTGGCTATTAAAAGCATAGTAGAAATAACCGTTTGCCAATGTGCTTGGCGGAAGGCCATTCGTGCCGAACAGAGCCGGCAGGGCGGTTGTAATATCATATCCACGTGTTTTACGGAAGTATGACCTCAACTCATCTGTCCAAAACAATGTAGCACGGAACTCGGCTGAGTCTTCCCATGCATACAAACCGAGTTGTCTGAGGAGATCACCATTCTCACCATTCATGACGTACTGTTCTGTAAAGCTAGTCCAAATATCCGTCCCTTCTTGGCTGAAATGATCAACGACATAAGCAAACCAAGAAGCTGGATTTTTCGGGTCGGTGGCATTATTGAACGCTCCTTGTGCAGCTAAATAGCCAGTACGACGCTGATAGAATGCAAACAAGACGTATTCACTTCCATCAGTTGGCGCAGTGTAAGTCAATTTGCCATCTTCGATTAAGTGCGTGATATCATCAACACTATCAAAGTCAAGTTGAGTTACTCGTACATCATCAGAAGAGACTTTTATATAGGGAAAGAGCAATTAGCAAACAATTCTGAATATGAAAGGTCCAGTTGGTAAATGCCACACAAACCTTTGCTTTTACGTGCAACAACAGCTGCAACAAATTTGTTTGTATAGTTGGTGAAGGGCGCATCGAAATCCGGCTTGTTGGCATATCCCGCATTTGTGCGGCCGGGTGGTGGGAGATCTCCGCTGAAGGCTTGACCTGAATTCAAATTGACAGTGCCATATGCCAGCTCGGTATTCATTCCCGGAGAGTCAGGATCTAAAATTGGGATGGAAGCGCCCTGTGTTGGTCCTAAAGCAAAGTCCACGAGGAGATCCAAGTCTTTGGAAGCACGCAGCATGGTGTTGAACTTTTGTCGCCATTTATCCCCCCCATAGCCATAAACTGCTGGATCTACCACAGCCAATTCAATGCCATAGTTTTCTAAACAGATGACTTCAACTCCGCCCCATCCTGCTTGCTTGATCTGTTGTAGATCTGCGTACAGGACAGCATCTTCCACGTCTGCATCCGGAACCCAGTATCGAAAGGCTGGCCGAGCCAGCCCTTTGGGATTAGAAAAATATTGAGGGACATCGTATTTGATCCACGGGGCTGGCCGACTACCGAACCCCCCGCTCTTCTCGACAGCCGCAGAAGTGCTGAAAACAGTAATTCCGGATAATAACAATAATGACACCTTCATCGTAACCTTATCGCTCCTACAACAAGTAGGAGGTCAGGAAAGCTATTGTTTGGCACATGGGCATGGAACGAATGGGCAGGTGTTGGCTGGTATGTAAGTTAATTCGTGGTAACAACATCTACAACTACGACCCTACTCAAGGCAACATCACCACGTGGGTTGCCAGAAGCAGATGGGTCAATCCATCGGCGAACTTCATCGCATCATCGTAGCCCTGTATCATCTCTTCGTCGATAGTCCGGGAGTTTGGTAGTATTCACCGTCTCGCTGCCGGGTCAAAGTACGGGTTAAAGCATACCGAAGGCAGAAATGTGAGATCATCTCCACCCCGAACAAGGTTAAGCGGAGGCGACTTTGTCTTGCCGCTTTATGCTGACCTATAACCTCCCCTGCCGTAGATGGCGGCGATGATGAAATTGAGTGATAAAAGCCTTAGACAAGGGAAACCTGGGCTCATCATTATGACTTTGCACGTCGGTGAGAATGCATGGGGGCTCAATAGAAGGTTCCGATTTGCCAATCTCCAGAAGCTACACTCGTAGTCGCTTAACTTGGCCCAGTCTACTCCATTTTCTCATTGATGTAAACGTGATAGCGTCATTCATTGTTCAGTTTGCAAAAGTCTCGATGACCTTCCTTTTAGCCAAAAACATGGTCCTTTCAGAATTCTGAGAGAGAAACAATGCCGACGGGCCGATGAGAAGCTCCACCACCATCTCCGCTGTAGCGTGCATTCAGAAACGCCATCATTACGCTGATGGCGAAGGTAATGCAAGATGAAGCAATCTCCGATGATCGGTGAGCAAGTGGTAGAAGCTGGATGAATGCCTGAATCTCAGGGTGATGATTAGTCAAATACCAAGTTCCGTCCACATTAAATAACACGGGCAATTAGCAGTCGTCACTAACAGAGTAAGATCAACATATTCGTCAAGTTCCATTGTGACGGCCATCATGAAGCTTCTTCGCCCTGTCTTATGGGCATTTACGAGCGCATTTGTGGCCAATGCGCACAGTCTCCCATCACCGCAACATACTTGTGTAATTCCTGCCTCGAAGGATGGACGTGACGATGCTCCTGCGATCCGCGAGGCGTTTAGCAAATGTGGAAATAACGGAAAGGTTGTCTTTCAAAAGGACACCACGTACAGTATTCAGACGGCTCTTCAATTGCACAACTTGAAGAACGTCCAAGTTGACCTGTTTGGAACACTTGAGGTATGGAAACCTGCCATTTCTTGGTACTCCAGTGTTGTTGACAAACGCAGTATTCAACGGATGTGCGGTATTGGATTCTGCATGGATCGTATTACTACTTCCAAAATATTTCCATTGCAATGGAATTTTCAGGCGAATACATCACGATTGATGGGCATGGATCCGGTACGATTGACGGACAAGGACAAGTGTGGTATGATCTGGCACTGGGAGTTGGTGGATTATATGGGCGCCCCATTCCGTTTTGCTTGCGAAACGTCAAGAATGCGGTGGCCAAGAATTTCCAAATTGTTCAATCTGGCAAATGGCAAGTCTTTTGGTCGCATAACTCTCTTGAACAGTTTATACTAATCTCAGCATAGGAATTTTGTGATGTTGGAATCTCAAAACATTCTTGTGGACAATATCACACTATCATCCACTTCGGACGATTTTCAGGTACATTTGATACTGTTCAAGTTGCTCCAGTGAACAAATCTAATGGCGAAATAAAGGCAAATCCAGGTAATCTCGGCAACACGGATGGCTTCGACACCATCAACAGTAACAACATTACTATCCAGGTCGGAAACTAACATCCCCATCATTCTACTATGTAAATCACGACTAATAATTCCTATAGAATAGCTGGGCAAATGTTGGAGACGATTGTGTTAGCTTTAAACCCGGCTCGACAAACATTCATGTCAAGAATTTGACATGCTACAACAGCGCAGGCATCGCAATCGGCAGTCTTGGACAGTATGAGGGAGTGAGAGACGTAGTTGAGAATATCACGGCAGAAGATGTTTCTGTAATGCTTACCACACCACTATCATAAGCCCACGTTGCAAACTTGCTAACCATGTATCGCACAGTTATACGGAAGTCGCAATGGCGCTTACATCAAAACTTACGTTGGCAAGCGAACATATTGGCCTCCGCAAGGTGGCGGCGGCGGCAATGGCTATGTCCGCAATGTCGGTACGTTTATCTGCCCAATCTATTCGTGGATATAGATCTGATATGCTGATATATTCACCAGTTTTCAAGAACTTTCACATCGAAAACATTACCGCTTCGCCCGTTCTAATCCAGCAGTGTACCCATTGGGCAGGATATAATGTGCCAGCATGTGCTGATACACCTCCCACGGGTTTCTTTTCGAATATTTCTTGGTCCAATTTCACAGGATATATGAACGAAAAAGTAGGGACGAAGGCGATCAGCTGGACTTGTTCCCCTCTTGCAACATGTGAAGGCTTTTCTTTCAAGGATATTAATGTCAAGTCGTCAACCGGGGCAAATGGCACTCATTCTTGCACCAATGTGATAGGCTATGACTCAACTTGCCAGAAAACCAATTAGATATACCTAGATAGATATAGTTGGAGTATCTTGCCAAGTTCACCATATCCGTTTCCATCCATTTGGCTGCTTCTTAAGCCTTTGGGAGGACATAGCCCTCTTCCAGCTCCTCCCGCCTAATGCATTGTTAGAGTAGCAACACGACCAGGGATGAAGTAGGTTGACTTACAAAAACACACCAAACTCAGCCACATATGCCAACCAATACTTAATCAGTTCATCCAAAATTTCCGGCTCTTCCTCCGCTAAATCGTGAATTTCGCCCATGTCTTTGTCCATGTTGTACAATTGCCATTTCTCCGGGCCTTTCGGCTTTGGAATGAATACAGCCTTCCATTTACCCTTGCGGATGGCTTGATGAAAGAATAATTCCCAGCCAGTTACGTGATCTTCATCATGAACATGGGGAGATATCCTCAGCAGGTGTGGGATCCAGGATTTGCCCTTTACCGGTACAACTTGACGCCCTCGAAAGCTCGGGCCCGGCAGCTGAATCCCCGCAAGGTCCAATATCGTTGGCAGGATATCCATAACAGTAGTGAACGAATCAGTAATATGCCCGTTTGAGGTTTCTGCGAATCCTGGGTAATGGATAATAGCCGGACAGCGGATACCACCTTCTGTGACATACCCCTTATGCATCCTACTAGGCGCCGTAGAGGCTTGCGCCCATTGAGGACCATACCAAATGAATGAATCCCGGTTGCCAAGGTTCTCATAGTCGTTGTTGTAATGTTTATTAATCGACTTTTTGATCACATCTCCAGTCATGGGAATCGCCTCAACAATCGCTCCTTCGGCACCATTGTCGGACATGAAAATGACAAAAGTGTTGTCCCACTCACCGGTCTCCTTGATTTTGTTGATAACTTTGCCGATATTCTCATCCATTCTATCGACCATACCAGCGAATACCTCCATTGTTTTCGCCGACCACGCTTTCTCCTCCGCTGACATGTCATCCCAGTCTTTAGTTGAGGAAATGACCGGATGCGCCTCTACATCCGCAGGCAAGAGACCGAGTTCAATTTGTCGTTTTAGCCTTCTGTCTCGCAGAACATCTGGACCATCGTCATATTTTCCCTTGTACTTCTGAATGTTTGACTCCGGTGCTTGCAGAGGCCAATGCGGGGCCGTAAATGGCAGAAATGCGAAAAATGGCTTCTCCTTGACGGAAGCGTTGGTCTCTCTTTCACTCAAAAAGTCGACGAGCTTTTTTGAAAAGTGATCTGAGGAGTAAAAGTCTTTCGGAAAGTCTTTCGTTTCAACTCTTTGGTCATCTTCATAGTACAGACTGGCCCAATGCGCAAAAACAGGGGTTCCATCCGGTTTTTTGGGTTCGTACGCATAATGGCTCGAGCCTCCCGGCAAAAGAGCAAATGAGCGATCAAAGCCTCGAGCATGTGGTGTGCGCTCCTTTGTGAGGCCCAAATGCCACTTGCCACTCATACAAGTATAATATCCCGCGTCCTGGAGAATCTCTGGTAGAGCAGCCACGCGGGAATTCAGGTAGCCCTCATATCCAGGTCGTTCAGACCATGGAACTGGTGGGTCTCGTCCACGGCCCCAAAACTCCATCTGGCCGAGGCCGGCAATGTGATTATCAGTGCCCGAGAGAAGCATAGATCGTGTGGGTGAACACATGGAAGCCGTATGGAAGTTGGTCATGCGCACTCCTGAGGGTGCGTAAGCCAAATGATCGAGATTGGGTGTTTGAATCTCGCCGCCAAAGGCACCAACGTCTGAGAACCCAAGGTCATCGGCGACGATGAGAAGGAAATTGGGTCGCTTGGTTGTAGCCATGATCACGAGTTGTAGGTATTGATCGCGATGTCAATTATCGACCGTATGCAATATTGGACACACGAAGTGGTGAGCTGGGCGACGATGGGCGGCATCCTAATGGGAACGAATGAATTGACCATGTATATATATATATATTGGCACTTGCGCAATGATGCGATTATGTGGGCTGGATATGATATTAGTTGCGGCTTAAAGCAGCATGAGGATGCCGTGATACGCTAATTCAAAACTGGGAATGCCGGCTATTATAACCCTCTCGCTCTATCACGCGGAATTATTACTTCGATCTGATATCTACAGAATTATAGTGCGTAATGTTTCTCCACCGCGGAAAGAAGACCACCAAGAGGCAGCTCCCATATGTTCTTTCAAGCGCGATATTCCATTTATGCGCATCGGCCTTGCTATGTCATGAGGAATCAACGTAGGTTCAGAAACCCATATTTTCATGCCCCAGAAGGAAATAAGAAATAAAACATTAAAAGATGAAACCACTTAACAGAACTTGTGTTCCAATTCTCCTGATGGGATACATTGTGATCAACTGATTACTCGTATTATAACATCGTCTATCCTGTTGTACAAAGATCAGTCAGTGTATGATAGGATGGTTTTTGTTTTATATCACATTCTCAAATACTTATAGGTTCTTATTCAGCTGGCAGTCACCTCTAATTTTTATCTTCTTCGTAAAGTACAATATCGACTCTCAAACCCATCTCAATCCAATATTGATAATGGGTTCCGCTAAATCACCCGAAATAAAGCTCCAATCCTTCTAACTCTGCCGCTTCTCTCAACGATCCCCTTTTCCCCATCTTCTTGACTAAATTGATGAGGTGCGGGAAGGTCTCTTGCAGATTTGGAATTCCAATTCTCACTGACCAATACCAAAACATTAGAAGAATGAAGTCAATCACAGTCTCATTGACACCAACCGGATGCACGTTTCCGTCCAGATTCTGCTCAATTCTTCGCAGCCCTTTTAACACTGCTACTTTTCCCTTCGAACAAACTACTTCGTATTGAGATGAGTCCTCTGTGAATCGCTCAGGCCGAAAGTACATAGAAGCGCCCTGGGCATGAACAGTGCCAGAGAGCCAAGCCATCCATTCGATTACCTTGGCGCGCTCAATTTTGCCGTCACCAAGAAGGTTAGTTTTATCGGTTGATGATGATGCTATGTACGTCATTATCGCAGGAAGTTGTGTGATGATTGCGCCTTCAACTTGCAATGCTGGAACATATCCTTGGGGGTGGATATTGCGATAGCTGGCGTTATCGAGGTTGCCGTCAGCAGCTTTTACCCATAGGGTTCTGATTGTATAATCACTGAGGTAAAAGGAATCATCAATTGCTTTAAAATAACATGAGGAACAAAAGAGCTAACGCCATTGGCGCGATATAGAGTGAGGGTAGGCATCTCTTTCACTTTCTGCTTCAAAGGTGAGGTGTATGAAGAGGAAAAAGAGCGGTTGTTGTGTGAATCAACTATGCTTTCTCATTCAATCTAGAATCTGTGGTTTTACACAGCTGCAAAATTAATACTCGGATTCGATGGTCAAGCTTTATTAGTAACTACTTTTCGCGACCTTTTCCTTTCTTACTTGCAATATACCTAATATTTTTATATATAGAAGAAAAAAGAAAGAACAGTCACCAGATTCACATGTGTTCGCACGGCCAAGGAGGGAACAACCAAAACAAAAATGACTATATGATAAAAATAAGTATTGTCGCTCAAGCAGGTTTTGTCAACCTTATCTGAACAGATTTTAAGGAAAGTCAGAAACCGCCTATCTCAGCAGGCGTTCCGTGACGACGCGCGGAAAATCTCAAAGCACTCCAAGATCGTTTAAACTCCAGCTATAAGCCCCATAATGAGACATTCACCAGGCCAGAGGAGGAGAATTGAAATCTCCGAATGCAGCTTGGTGAAGTCCAAACGCAATTGTCTCGATTTGCTGTCAACACCCAACTACGCAATGCTTCGGCATCTCGTGCATTGAGTCCTAATTCATCCAGCTATGATGTTGCCACCAGAGACGTGCAATCTCATCTTAGAATCATCTTAGAGAGCCCTAGTGATGATAGTTATAATCTTTGATGAACCGTTAAACTTTTCTTTAGTTAGAAGCGCTATACCTTTTCACACGGAAGCGCTAGTCTTAGGTATTCATTAGTATCCTACAGAGCTTGCCAGAAACAACAATTCAGTAGCGGATGCGCTGCATGCGTCCCGAGAACTACCGACCGGCCTGTTCCCGTCACCAGGCGTAGAAAACTGCCAGTGCTGCGGTGCCTCGAATATTTGTCAATTCCTAAGCTGCATATTCCAAAAAACGTGGGCGAAATCAAACTCTACATTTTCAGGCCATTTGGAGGTACTTCATCAGTTTTTCAAGTCAAATTCTATATCAGAGAAAGTACACGTGGAACGGTAGGCTGGGAATGGAGAGCTTGCTCTTACTCTCAACTTGATTCTGTTGTACTTGGATTCTCAAACATGATCTTCTCTCATCCTCGCAGCACTTTAGGAGAATATTATGAATCAGCAGTTTTGACACACCAGAAAACGCATGCTCATACATGGCCGTTCAGTTTACATCCAATCTCAAGGAAGCATCCGAGCTTCGAATGTTATAACTACGTTAATTCTTAAGCAGACACAAAAGACAATACCTTCTACCCCAGCTGTCCAAGCTTCGTAATCATGCACAATCCCAGTCTCAGAACTCGACTAATGACATTTTACCGTGACAGCCGGTCAGCGGCATGAGACTAGCGCCCGATACGAGGTGATATTGGGGTAAATCGCCTATGATTCCCGAACTCCCCTTGCTCCCTAGTCTAAACACTATTGATACGCTGTCACTGTCTTCGGGTATGCAACAATCCCCGATCTTGCCGAGCTTCTCGTAATTTCTTGTCATTTTTATCGGATGATCTCTCGAGGAGGTTGCTAGTTGCTGTAACTGTAGAGATCAATCAGGCATGAATTACGCCCGCTTTTCCTGCAAGTTTCCTCCTTTACCTCACCCATCGCAATCAAAAGTGGATTTGCACACGCAGAGATGGATTTTAATGCCAAAAATAAGAGCCTCGTAAACGTGATGCTACCTCGTATTTCGATCGGCATCGTGTCACATATTCTGCCAAAATATCCGCTGCTTATATCACTAGACGCGTCCAGCTCCCACCTGCACCATATCATATATAAATGAGAGCGAACGGGGTTTGATTTTCTCTGGGGGCTTGTTTCTTAAGCCACAAGACATTAAGTTGTCTTGCTTGCAACTTAGTTTCACTTGATTGGATTTCCCTGAGCCTCCTATCGGCCTTGAACAATGAAGGTCAAGGCCGCCTTTAGCCTGCTGGCCGTAACTGGCAGCGCGGCATCGCTCTCGACTGTGCAACCGGCACAGAAGCCGAATATCACCATTGTTCCCAATGCATACATTATCGAGTTTGAGCCAGATTTCCACCCCTCTTTGCAACCTCAGCAACGCTTTGCCCAAACTCCTGTAGGCATCCAAGCGGGCTACCAACTTCGCCATGAGTTCAATTCCTTGGATATCTTCTCAGGAATTTCAGTCTCCTTTCACACAGACGTCGACCTTGAGTCTGTCAGGAAGGCCAATGGAGTAAAGAACGCCTGGCATGTGACGATTGTCCCTCCACCTGAGCCATATTATAGAAACGGCAGTCCAAAAGCCAAGTCGACCAGCGGCAGTAGCCAATCGACCACTGGCAACAGCAATACGACCTTGCCCAACCTACGAGGTGTTAGCGGCGTGAACCAGCCCCTACTTTCTGTCAACATTCAGAAGCTCCACGACGAAGGCATCAGAGGCAAAGGAGTCCAGATCGGCATCATTGACTCTGGCGTCGATTATCGTCACCCCGCACTTGGCGGAGGCTTCGGACCTGGCTACAAAATTGCTTTCGGTTATGATTTCGTAGGCGATGATTACGACGGCACTAATAGTCCCATGCCTAGCCCTGATCCGTTGGCAACATGTCCCAGCGGTGGGCATGGCACGCACACCCTTGGTAAGTATTGGAGACAAGTAATGGATTTCTGAACTATATCGGCATTAGCACTAACGCCAGGGCAGGAATTCTGGCTATGGAAGATCCCGACGATGTAGGCTTTGGCGTTGTTGGAGGGGCTCCTGATGCGACAATAGGAGCTTACAGAGTCTTGAGCTGTCCAGGCTTTGGCACACCCAACGACATTATCATAAGCGCAATGCTTCGAGCCGCTGAAGACGGCGCAGATGTGCTATCCATATCGCTTGGAATCATCGGCGAATTATGGGAAGCTCTCAACCCTTTCGACCCGGTGGTCACCCAGCTCGCACAGAAGGGAGTAGCGGTTGTGGCAGCCGCTGGCAACTTTGGCCCTTCGATCTATAGTGCGTCGATTCCTGGTATTTGCCAAGACGCGCTCAGCGTAGGGGCCGTGGAGAATGCGGTATATCCGACTCATTTCCAAGCTCGCGATGAGAAAGACAGATTGCTAGATTATATATCGGTACTCCCTTTTCCGGAACAGAGCAAGCAGGACATCTTCGTGCTTGGAACTGGGCTTGGAATACCGATCAATGATACTGTCGCCAGTGGCTGTTACCAGCCAGCTTGGGATGCAGCGGCTAATGCAACGGTAGATTGGAATACAACTATATTGTTGGTGTCCTTCACGGATACTTGTGGCAATGGCTGGTTCCAAGCTCAGGATTTGGGCGTTACAACTATTATGGCTTACCTCACAGGCGAAGATCAGCTCATCGAGCTAGATGAACCTGAAAACGACGGCTCCCCCGAAACACTATGGTTGACCTACAATAGCTCAAAAGCAATTGTGGAAAATATTAAAGGCCTATCACCTAACGAGACTTATAGTCTGGAATTCATTTCAACAGGTTCACAATCTCAACAGCTCATCGTTGATCCACTAGGAAACTTTGTCGACTCATTCTCGAGCCTTGGCCCTA